ATGTAATGTAAAAGGGTAAAAGACTCTGATAAGTCACAAGAAATTTAGTCTCAAGCACTGTTATCAATGCCTCATTAATTAGTCTATTGTGACCCATCCAGCTAAGATGTATTCAACCCCATAAAAGTCTAGTTTTATTTAACTGTCCAACATGAATGCCATGTGACCTTCCTCATTGCAATGGACCTGAGGCAGGGAAGAGAAATAGAGATGAAAGATGAAGCTGTGCTCTAATGTATTCTCCATCCTTATACTTTGATGTGTCTATAATCTCTTGCATGCGTTTTCTATATTTGGCTTTGAAGCTCCATAGGCTAATCCCTCCATTCTTTAGCGGAACAAAAGTGTTTGAATTGGCCAGGATTACTGTGACACACGTTTTGTGCACTCCCTTGCTGGCACAGGAAAAGGTGGATTTCCAAAATGGCAAGTTGGGCAGTTAAAAAAAAGTTTGTTTTGCCTCCGTCCACGTCCTTCACAATCGGATGAACTTAATGAGTGTGTTTGGACGTTTGAAAGCGTGCGTGTTTCTGCACGAGTGCAACAGAGGAGCAGTGTTTTAGATTTATCTGTGGCAGCTGCAGTGGTGTGAAGCAGAACAGCTCTTGGCAGCATCAGGCCCCCTGTTGGGCTTTTTCCCATCCTTCTGTAGAGCTTAACTCTCATGGCTTCTTTATCACGAGCTAAAAAAGCCTCTGCTGTCATGTGTTACTTAAATGACTAAAAGGACTACTAACATCCAGCAGAAATAGAGACGCTGCTGTGATCGGCAGGTAATGAGCAGCAATATTAAACCGGCTCGCCCATCCCAAGCTCTAGTTCTGGCCGACGTGTCAGCCCGAGCACAAGAATGAGTGGTTTCAGAGTTTGGTGGTTTGCTCAGACTATATGAGAGGAAACTTCATGATGTTGACATCCATGGCCAGGAAAATATCCCCTTGCTCATTTTTTTTGTTTTTTGTTTTTTGGCACTGAACTGTGAGATTCAACTTTGCAGAGGAGCATGAAAATATGCCTGATGAATGGTGGAAGCACATTCTTTTAGTCAGATGAGACCAAGAAAGATTTTTTTCTTCTTTTTTTCCCACACAGATGGGGCCCATCTTATTTGGCACGAAAGTGGACATTAATACCATCGAACGATTCTGTTGTCCTGAGAGTGCAGAACAGATATGGGGGTTTAAATATATAGGGCTGTGTGCGTTTAAAAGGCCAATAGATTACACTGCTGGATAAGCTAAATCTGACAAAATGACTCCCAGTCTGCAGAAACTTAGCTGCAGAAGAACATTCCAGTGTGATAAAGTCCCAAAATAAAATGCTAACAGCGCTTAAGATTTTCTGGGGAACTAAAAAATTAAAACTTTCATCTTTTTACGGGCGTCTCCTAATTGGAGGTCTGCCATTTAAACATTATATTCACAAACATGCTTTCATTAGTGTGCAGTATGAAGAGTCTCTGCTGAAATCTGATGTCTCTGAATTCTACAAATTGTTTGGGTAAACTCTTTTAAAGACACACGTATAATGTCAAAGTTACTTAAAAACAGGTGAAAATTGCCTCTGCTAAATGGCATAAAATACATCTCTTCCCTGTCATAAGAATGTAAAGCATGCCAACATCCTCCACTTTGATGATCTGGTCCCATATAAAAAACATGTAAGCTATTCAGTAAGATGAAAGTCAAATCGCCGGTAATGAAAGATATTGCCAATTTTTCAAATGAATAGCCTGTTTTCCCTTTTCATGTCTTTTTTTAAACTTACTTCAATGTGACACTATTTTCAGGGATGCCCTTTATTTGATTGCAAAGTGTTAGATGTCAATATGAGATGTATCATTTTGCATTCAGACACTTATGTCAGTGAAAATTAGGCCTTTAGGAAGGTATCCCTTAAAGAGAGTGAAGATAAGTAAAGGCGTGTAAACACTTAAAAGTAGCGTACTGTAGCATGGGCTCTTCAACGGTTAAGAAATAATAATGTGTTGTTGTTCATGGGCCCATGTGTTTGAAGAGCCAAAAGATTCTGGCTGCAGATCACGCATTTTGTTGGAGCCCAGATCATCAGCCCAACAGAACAGTTGTGAGTGATCAGACATGAGTTCATTCCAAAGTAGACCTACATTCCAGTTTTCCTCCCCGGGGCACACTGGGCTGCGTTTCTGCCCCGGCTCTAAACGCTTCCTGCTGGGCGGCGAGCGCACACACTGGGGCTGAGGCTGGAAGGTGGCTTACAGCAGCCAATCCCTGCAGCCCGGGGGGGTGTTGCAGGGAGGCAGTGGTGTTCATTGACCGAGTTAGTGTTGCAACAGCGACCATCGTGCGTGTGATGAGAGGAGAAGGTCAAAAAAGGGGTGGCTGTTTACAAGTCCTCCGCCCCGAGCACAATGCAAGCTGTCCCCTTTTACTGGTGTATGCACAAAGGAATAATACAGCACATCTATCCCAGCTGACACTAGACAGACCCCTGAAGTGCAAAGAAAAAAGTCATGTAGACTCCAGACATGTATCTGTTTCACTCGTATTTAACGTAGCACGATGGAAAGAGTTACAGTTCATGTGAAGCACATTGGCTAGCCTGAAGGATTCCGTGAAAAAAGGTGATCAATAAGATGACTAAAATCGTCGCCTTATTTGAAGGATTCAACTTAAACTGTCATCTTACCCTTTCACCTACCATCTTGCGCCTCTGACGGCATCCTGCACCTTGTTTCTATGGAAACAGGCTCTGAAGCAGGCAGGCAGGCAGAAAGGGACAGGAAGAGTTGCTGAGACAGCAGAAAAGCCTCTTTGTGCTCACAGACGTTCCCAGTGCAAACGGCCTGGAGCCGGTACACATGGCACAATTACTCCATTTCCCCAGTACGCCAAAGACAAAGAGAGACTTGGAGAAATAAATTATCACTAGGCTCTCAAAGTCATCTTGAGACAATAAAACAGGAGTGGATATCTTGACTGAGATACAATAATGAGAAACTGCAGCTGGACTGTTTTCGTCACAGTCAAGTTGATTCATACAGAAAACTCTGGCCGACACACATAACACACATCCACACTAGATAGAATCCACCGTTTTTGTGTTTGTGTGCAAACACGGTAAAGCAACAGCATACAAAAACACACACGATGTCACACTCCATTCTGTGTGGGACAATTGGATTTCAGCTCAGTAAAACCTGATTATAGACACCCTCTGCCTCACACCGGGGTTGGATCACTTAATAAAGCCTAAGTGCAATGGCACAGGAGTGTGTGTGTCCACAGATATCGTATGAACACACACTGCTGCAGATCCATGTCAGCTTGTTAGACATTATACCAGTGCAAGTGTTAAGAAAAAAATGAACTAGTTCAAACTGAGAGTGAGTAAACATCAAAGTCTAACAGAAAGACTAAAATGCAACATTAGACTGCTTTTCTTTTAAAAAAACACATTCCCCCGTTTTCATTGTGCAGCAGCCTGTGAGTCACTAACAGCAAATACAGAGCAGGCATGGAAAAATACAACAAGGATTTGTGCCACTTTTGTATTAGATGTGTGCTGTAGAAATGATAAACTGTAGGAGAACGCCATAAATAATCAACCCACTAGGACATAACGGTATAATGTCACTGAAGTATGCAGCAGATATGACAGCATTGTCCATTGTTGTCTTTGTTTTATGTTCACGAGCAACAAATAGCACCCATGAATTAATTCAAAGCATCACAAGAGAAAGTCTTACATGACTTTGGAGCAACTATAGAGCAGATTAACAATATAATCCTTATAATATATATGATTTGTTACTATATCAAACTACAGAACAGCTGGCTCTTATAAAGTAATTGGAACTATAACTTTACAAATCCTGTTTACAGGTGTGCAAACGTATAATGACACAAAAACCAAAGTGAGGATCTTCCATTTAGCTGCCCCCCAACTGGAAGAGGAAGAAGGGTCTATATATTATGTTCATGGTCTACTTTTGAATGCTTTTACTTATCTCAACTCTCTTTCAGGCACTCCTTCTCAAGCTGTAGGGTTGCATGTCACCATCATGTCAACTGCATGTGAATTCTAAAATATACCAGATTTCCTTTCCTTACTGGGAACCTTGAATAAATCTGCTAAATGTAATGGAAATCTAATTTAGCATTAAGTAGCTTAATGGCTGTTTCTTCAGCCTGTGACCCGGTCCCAATTATACAAACATCATTGTACATATTCATTAGCCACAACTTGGGAGTTGAAGAAATTCAGGACAGGGAGGCTGTGGGGATTCGAAAGTCAGATTGGGTTAAATTTGGGGAAAATAAAGGGAAGAAAAGCAGGGGCAGAGATTTGATGAGGCGTTTACACCGCTCATCTGTGGCTCCATCTAGTGTCTGACTGCATGTAGGCCGCACAGGAGCTGCAACCCATATCCACTCCAGATGCTAATTTCATGGGTGTCTCTTAAATTTCCCAAAAGAACCCTTTTTAAAAAGGATTATCAAACATGATTATAAACTTCATAGTCAGTGAATATCCGAGGTGACAGATGCCAGGACCGATTTAGAGTTCACTTGAGTGTTCCCTCCACCACCCCAGTGTTTATCAAAGACTAAACTGAATGAAAATGACATCATTAACTTTATTAATTGCGTCTAGTTCCTGAACGTGTCATCAGTACCAAGATACTCTCCTCAGCGGATCTGTTAACCATTAATCATTCATTATGTGAGGACCACAGGTTCTCTCTGCTCGTTTTACAGAGACTCCTTCCCCCTGTGGGTCAGATGAGTCTGAGAGTAGGCCTACCTCAGGAGCACAGGTGTGTTTCCAGCACCGAAAGCAGGTTTGGAAGAAGCTGACGCGCTTCTTATGAGTCTTTAGTCATATTTGTGAGAGCTCCTGTTTGGATTTTAGAGGACGTGCTGCGTCGGCTGTCACTTTTTCTCCCAACTGTTTGGCAAATATAAGAGGGAATTCCATATATATATATCTTTGACGACTGTCCATCCCTGAGCTGACAGTTCCCACCTCCCAACATGCTCCCTGCGCAGGAAGCAGCCAAAATCTACCACACCAACTACGTGCGTAACGCGCGCGCCATGGGCGTCATGTGGACCGTTTTCACCATCACCTTCGCCGTCATCACCGTGGTGGTGTTCATCCAGCCCTACTGGATCGGGGACAGCGTCAACACGCCGCAGGCCGGCTACTTCGGCCTGTTCCACTACTGCATCGGGAATGCGCTCACCTCGGAGCTCACCTGCAAAGGGAGCGCGCTGGACTTCGGCTCCATCCCGTCCGGAGCCTTCAAAACGGCCATGTTCTTCGTGGGCATCTCCATGCTGCTGATCGTGGGCAGCATCGTGTGCTTCAGCCTCTTCTTTTTCTGCAACGCAGGAAGCGTCTACAAGATCTGCGCCTGGATGCAGCTGGCCTCCAGTGAGTTTGCCCAAAGTTTGCCCAGAGCTGAGTAGATGGAACAGATCATTATGACAAACCCTGAAAGAGGACGCACTTTTTTTTACACTTAAGTTCTACAGTTAGCAGACACTGTCCTGTGAAAGTAAAAAAAAAAACCTTATTGAGATAATCATTACAAACACATAAAACAAGCAAAAAGAAAGTTCTATTAGCAAATATGTGCTTTATGGGGATGATTATCACCTTTTTAACCACTGCATAGACACAACAGCACTGTTTATAATCTTAAGATGCTAATTATAGGATCAAATAATATCATAGATGTTTCAGACAGTTTTCTGTAAAATGCCTTCACCTTTTCATGCTTTAATGACTTTTTAAAGTTTTTTTTATGTATAGAAGGGGATGAATGGCAGAAAAATGAACAGAAGACCACATCTCAATGCATCTGTCAAAATGTCAGCAGTTCCCTCTGACAGACACCCAGCTGAAACACGAGTCGGTCACTGAAACACAAAGCAGCTCGTGAACAGATGCGGCTGCAAGTGAAAGGCTGAGCCTCTAATGAAACACGTCCTTAGATTATCCGGGAGGTGTGCTGTTACACTCTCTCCTCTCCCACCTCAGACCTGTCACGCCTACCAAAGGGTGCACGCTCATATGCATTCTTATGCTTCTGTAGTGTAGTTTTAGTTTTAGAATGAGGGAATTGTGAAGTTGGACATTGGTGATGGTTTTAGAGCAGCTCTTTCAAGGGCTGTTAGAGAAAGAAGAGCTGGTCCAAGATAAAGCCCCCCCCCCCCCCCCCCCCCATCCTTTGGTTTGCTAAGGTATGGGTGTAGTACACAAAGTAAAACTGTTGTACCATACTATTTTAGAGTTAAAAAAATCCAAAGTGACCATTTCTAATTTTCCAAATAATAGTCTTAAATTATAGGTTAGGATAGGTTTCCTGAATTTAATCTATGTAAAAGGCTCTTGATAATTTCCTGAGAGGGTTTTTTAAATTCCTAAAACATGGAGGAGGCATGTGAAGCCATGGGCTCTGTGAAAGGGAAGGTGGTGTTTGGATCAGAGAGTGAAAGTGAGTTGCAAGATGTGTGTGTGTGTGTGTGTGTGTGTGTGTGTGTGTGTGTCATGTTTCACTCCGTCATGCTGGGGTGGGATGGTGCTTGGCCGGCTGTCTGTGATGTTAATAATGGAGTTGAGATGTTGCCAGGCAACTTAGTCTGTGTGTGTGACTGGATTGTTCATTCAAGTTCTTTGTTGGTTTCACCACCTTGTTTTCCCCTAAACATTTGGTGTCAGAGGCTCTTTATCATTACTTAGGTCAAAACAAGATCATAGAGATGCTCCAAAAAGCAGCTGATGAAGGCGGTTGATTTAAAAAGAGGACCAAACCACACAGCCCTTTTCATAGTTGTGTTTCTCACCTCTCAGGTACGTGCATGGTGATTGGCTGCATGATCTACCCTGACGGCTGGGATTCGGAGGAGGTGAAGCGCATGTGTGGCCAGCGGACGGACAAGTACACTCTGGGAAACTGCACCGTGCGCTGGGCCTACATCCTGGCCATCATCAGCATCATGGACTCGCTCATCCTCTCCTTCCTGGCCTTCAGCCTGGGCAGCCGCCAAGACAACCTGCTGCCAGAGGACTTCCAGGTGGAGGGAAAAGGTATGATGGTATGGGCCGCAAAGAGTCAATCTGTGGATGAGGTGGGAGGCAAAAAGGAACAAAAGGGAACATGTAGCTGTAATAATACAGCTATGTGTTTTTCTTTAAACATTTGGCTAGTTTACATATTCCTCTAAACTCATTATCTGAGCAGATAATTACATCTTCAGTAATGTTTTTTTCCATTTTTTATGAACTACAGATAATGCATAAACCCCAGATGGACCATGAAGGGAGGAGATGATCAGGAGCTCCACAGCCGGACAGCATTCAAATATTCTCAGGGGCCTCACGTGTCCTTTTGATAAAAACGATCATCTCTTTTAAAAAGTGGACAATGTTTTGGGACATTTTTTTTATCATGTCCGTGTTAGAGTCGATGTTCGGTTCTGAAATCACTGTGCGAGACAGTGGACTTAAAGGACATCTTTTTGGGGTACTTTTGTCTTGCTTTAGGGTTCACTTTGCTGCATTTCAGACGAAAATACTGTATTTTCTACTTTACAGCATTTTTAAAAGACATTTTTAGTTGTTGAAATTCAACAATGATGTTTTTGTATTCTTACCTTTCTCAACCCATTCCATAAATGGAACAATATTAGTTTCAATACCTCGTCAAACATTTTTTTAAATGTCTTAATGCCCTCATAATACATGTCAAAACATCCATAAGTCAGTCTTGAATATTTAAATTCATGAGGCAGGGGCAGATTTTGAAAAATGTTTATTCTTTTTACCTGCTAGAATAAGTAAACAAAGAAGGAAGACATGGAAAGGATACTTGTAAAAAAAAAAAGAAAAAAAAAGAAAAAAAACTAAGCATATTGGTATGAGGGGATTCCTTTTTTAAGTTTCTGTAAACGGTATAATTTGTTTTCCACTATCCATGTAAAGCAGAAAGTATTGCATACTTTTAAAAAATGTATCCGATTAGGATCTAATCTATTCCAAAGACTGTTGAAGATTTTGTTCTCAGCCCTTCAGATTGTGTCATTTTAAGAAACTGCTTACAGATCAGCTCTTTGGTACCCGGCACATAAGGGGAGGACCTACACATGGACTGGTTTTACTCTTAGTGTGGGGGATAGACTAACTAAGACTAACCTGGAAAAGGAATTGAGATGTAAAACCGCAACAATGTGTTTTGTCTGCCAACTGCATCAAATGGAGAAAGAATAAGAATTTGTGCCGTACCAAAAGTTTTCTTCCCCTATAAAACAAGAAATAATGCATAAACTGAACATAAACCATGACCAAAAAACCCCCAAACAGCGTGATTTTGATGACTCTCTCTTATGTCTGAAGTGTATGCTTTCTCACCTAGTGGCACTTCCTTTTATAGAAATATATGAAAGGTAAGGAGTTGTTGTTTTATTTTATTTATTTATAAATTTTTTATTGTTGGCGGTGAGAAAATGGAGCTTGAGAGCATTTTAAAGATCCCTAGTTGCTGTGAGCTTTCAGCACTGTGCAGCAGTTAGCTCTGAGCATACACTTTAAAGACAAATGAGGAAAAGCTGGCACAATCATGACTGGCAATTTCAATAACTGCATCTTAACACCATGTGGATTTGACGGCAAAGTTTTGTTTTCTGTTGGAATTTTGCCTCGTGTTTTTGTAGAAAAAGTGATTTTACTTTCATTCTTAAACGATTAATGTGTAGCGGAGAAGCAAGATTGATTTGTTCTATGCAGCAAGTAAAAAAAGAGCCATAAATACAGGGAGAAAAACCTTAAGCTCCTTCTATAAACAGTGAAATCCATAAGAGGACACAGAACACAGTCCATCTCTAGGTTATTTGGAGGCGTGTAGGCGAGCTGACACGTCACAGTGTGGTGCAGGACAACCAAGCTCTGGCAGACATGAATGTGTTTGTGGTACGTTTGGAAATTCCGGGTCTTCAATCATAAATGATCCTGGCCCATCATGAGGAGTAGCAGAGTGCGGCCTGGTGGTCTCTAGGATGTGAGCCATGGATGGGAGAGGCACTGGGCCGCGGTAGCCCTCCTTTCAGGCACCAGGTCCAGCATGGGCAGCAGGAAGCTGCTGAAAGAGTGAGCCTCCTCTTTGGACCATTCGTACTTTTCAACCAAGACGTCAAACAGGCCCCACGGTTTCAGCTTGGTGATGTGACGCAGGTCGCCTGGAGGAAACATGTGTGACACGTCTGAGTGCAGAGCATTTTCAAGCAGACCATCAATGGTGTTCCTGTGAATCTGTAAACTCTGTCCTGAAGAGATCAGGATTCTATTCCCTCGAATTGTCAGATATTCAATCTAAAACAGTAACTTGCAGCATTTATCTGAACTACTGAATTTCAAAGTGGATGCTGTGAAAAGCGTCCAGCCAAAGACAGAAGTATGGGTTTACCTTTCTTTGTAAAAAACTCCTTTGAATATTTGCCAGCTATGATCAGCTTCCGAGGAACTTTACCCAGCAGTTCGATGATCAGCGCTATGTGATCTACAGCGAGGCAGAAAAAACATACCAACATAAACTGACTCATAAAAGAGACAGCAAAAGTTGATGAGTGGAGTAAAAAAAAACAACAAAAAAGCTCTGTGGCAGCTGGTGATAAAGGTGTGCAGAAGGAGAAAACGATAACGTGATGCTTTGCTGACACCAACCTTCATCTCTGGAGTAGTCTTCTCCAGAGTGTGGCTCAAACAGGTAATCTCCAGTTGCAAGTTCAAATGCCTGAGGAAACCGGCACACAGGAACTCAGAATCCAGTGGATGAGTGGGTTCAATTATGCAAAGCTACATAAGTACGATTATTAACGGGAAAAAAATGAAATGAATGTTGAGTCAGTTTTATATCTGCACTCCAAACAGTGATCTGACCCACTGTAGGATGAGTTTTCAGCTTTTCTCCCTCTCTGACAGAAATGTGTGTAGGCAGGAAGTTTAAACATGCAGTACAGTGTGAATTTAAATGTACACACAGTTTAGATCTGCAGATTTTGTGCTGCAGTAGAAAAATGTTTTCATTTTCCCTTTGGACAAATGAAACTACATTTGAATTAAGTTTATTTTTCTTCTTTTCTGATGAAAAATAATGAAAATTAAACACTTAATAAATAATACTTCAGGGCCACAGACTTATTTCTTCTTCCCACTTAAAACAGAAGGATTACCGGTATAGCACTGGATTATGGCATATGGTGCACAAGGTAATTTCATATTCATATTGCCATACATAACATCAAACAGTCTAGTTTGTGCAGAGGGGCTAAAGAATGCATCTATTTCTCCTGTTTGAGGAGTACTCAGTCTGATGAAAAAATCTGGAATAACTGGGAACGTTTCCCAAGCTCCCTGAAAACATGCTTTGCTTTTCTAAACCCAGAAAGTCCAACCAAAACACACACAGACACACAAACACACACTGCAAACACGGCTCCCATATCCCAGGTATGCGTGTGCTTTACCATGCAGGCTGTGCTCCAGATGTCAGCTGGAGTGCTGTAGCCAGAGCCAATCAGTACCTCAAGAGAACGGTACTGCCGCGTCTGGATGTCATCTGTGAAATGTTTGTGCTGTACAAAAGAGGAAGGCATTTTGAAGGTTGTGAATAAAATAAAAATTTTCTTGATATTGAAAAATCTTAAAAAGATAGCTTTAAGAGGGCAATCAATGAGGATTCAAAGTTAGGATGTGTATTCTGCCATTAGCTGCAGGCAATATGACAGCTTAAAAAGAATGAAAAAACATGACAAAATTCATGTGTGACAATAAGTGCAAATTCAAATGCAATTCTAATCAAACATTAGTTAAGTCACTGGATCAAATCTGACCAATTCTGAGCTACATGAGCAAAAGATACAGCTGCTGCCAACGCACCAGTTCAGAGCCCAGCCAGATCTACGTTTTTCTCTTCCTAAAATATACATGGACTCTTACCACCCAGCAGGCATTGCCTAGGTCAGCGATCTTAACCTGCAGCTTCTCAGCATTCAGGGCCTCCAGAGGGTTTACTAACAAACTCCCAGCTGAATCTGTGAAAGACAGGAGAAATAAAGCGGGAGTGAACAGGTGAACGTTCATTTTCTTAGTGTTTGTGTTCCATATTTGTGTATTGAGGCTGAAAATATATTGGGAGCAGGATGCAACTGCAAATAATTTACAGTTTGCTTTGAGGCGTTTATCACAAGACACAATACGGGGTTATGCTGTGAATCTGCTGGTGGAGGATGCAAGAGCAGAAAAACAACATCCATATGCATCAGTGCAGCCACTGCAAGCTTATTTTGACACATTCTTCTCAACTTCAGCCCTCACAGCAGACCCTGCTGCCCACACACAGCTCAAGCTCAATCGGTCTCATGCACGTTGTATTACTCACATTTAATAACAGATTCAGCTCAATTCAAAATCTTTTCATGCCAATCTACATCAGCAAAGATATGAATTTCACAATACAAAGTAAGTCTTGCAAATGATATCACAGCAAAAAATATATAAAGTTTGTTTTGTAACTGACCGCTTTGGATGTCCTCTTCATTCCCTTTTTGCATCTCTCTTTGAGTGTCCATGTGCTCTGGCCTTTTTTCAGCTTTTTCTTCCTCCTCTGGCTCCACGGTGACATCTGAGCTGAGGGAGGCAGGGGGCTGCTGCAGGGCGGGGTCTGCTTCTTGGTGTGAGGCGTTACAGGTCTGCTGCTCCTCTTTCTTATGTAATGTGTCCTGGGCTTCTGTGTCGTTTTCTGCTTGGTTTGCGTTCTGTTGGTCCTCCTGCTCCTCTGCAGACTGCTTGGTCTCTTGTGCCTCTAAACTAGCCTTGCTATCCTGTGAGGAGCTGTGGCCATTGCAGTTGACTTCCATCTTGTTCTCCTGTGCTGTGTCCTCTCTTCGTTCATTTGGCTGAGGAGGGTGTCGAGGCTGCTCATCAGGAGTTGAATCTATGGCACAGAGGGACTGCGTCATTCTTTGGATTTTCTAATGAAACCTTCACACTATAGATAAAAGCCACAATCTTTGCAGACTTATTTTACCTTTTTCAGACACACAATACCAACTTTCCACCACAAATTGTTTTTCCTAACCCCTTCAAATTAAGGAATTGATCAGAATGCTTCCAAAGATCAGAACTTAAATCATTGTTGTGCTTTCTGGGCCCTCCGTGTGACACAATGTCAGTAAATAAGTGTTAAACAGAGGACAGTCGTGCCCCCTCTTACCGACCTGAGTGAGACACTCTGCAAAAATGAGAATGAACAGATGATTTTGTCATCAATCCCGCTGACTGAAATCAGACTGGTCAGTCTCTGGGACCACTCCACAGTCGGCTGAGCCAGAACTGGCTGCCAATTCACTAGTTTTCTACTCAATTCAAACCCGAAATAACAGCAAAGGAATAGTTTGGGATGTTTTCAGCAGAGATGCAGCAGAATGGTTGGGGGCACCTTTTAAGGCCACTGAAGTTATGAGATGTGAGAAAGTTAACATGCCCCATTTGATTCAATCCAGCCAATCATTCACCTGTGCTAGAATGGATAGCTATGTCTTGCAGTGTGGCAGACATAGAGAGGGTAGCCGAGGAACTTGTATCTTCAGTGGTCTCTGTTGCCTCCTCCTCATCCTCTTCCTCTCCACCTTCAGGTAAAGCCCCTCCCTCCATCTCCTGGATCCTCTTCTCCAGGAGTTCTGCTTGCTTCTTTTGCTTCTTCTTCATCTTTTTCTTTTTGTTCTTTGACATTTTGGCCATCTGCACATGAACACCAGATGACTGTTTGGATTCTGGCTAAACTCAAATTTGTATTTTGAATTGTTAAGCTAAATTCACAACAGCTGCTTGGAAAAAAAAAATCGGAACTTACTGGTTTGGGTGCTGGCGCTGTACTCACTGTGGGAAAACAGGAAATAGAGGATCACAATGTTGAATAATAAGTAGCTCATCAGTAGACTATAATTAGTATTCTCTTCACATGGCTGACTCAGTTCACACCAAGCTGTACTAATAGATTGTCTCTACATTGGCACCAGGCGAAGCATGAGTAAGCTAACTGCTAAGCTAACTGGTAATTTCCATAAGCTATCCAGTGGTGATTCATAGTGACACATAGCTAAGCTCTCCTTTTTTTATAAGAAACAGCTTAAAATTCCACAGACAAGGTTCTGAGCACTTATAACACATGGAGTACATGGGATCATATCAAAGAGTTGAAAGAAAAATCTTCATTTTGAATGTCAGTCCAGTTTTTGCCCTTGTTGACCCATGATCTTAAGACAATCTCCATTTGAAAAAATGAATTTTCCAAACTAGTGACAATATTTCGCTCTTCCAGTGGACTACCAAATAGTTACTGCTGAACAGCTAAATTAAAACCAGGCTGAGCAGTAAAACCTTTAGCAGTCAGAAACGACAGAGAGAGGCTGTGACCTGCAGATCCAGAAGGAGGCGGAGCTCCAGACTTCTGCCACTGAGTGGCTTCAGCAGCCATCTTCTTGATGTACGGCTCGTTGACCGTCAGAAGAATGTTCTCTGGTTTGATGTCTGTGTGGATGATCTTACACTTGGTATGGAGGTATTCCAAGCCCTGAAGAACCTGTAGAAACATCAGATTGACAAGATGGTAAACGTTTTTGGCTTAAGGAGAAAGTTGATCTGTGTGTCACAAGTATTTTCTTGACCAAAAAAGGACTAGTGTGAATTTTTAAATAAAGTTAAATAAAGCAATTATCTTTGATGCGTTTTTTCCTTTCCCATATTTACTTTTTTTTTTTACATGTTTCTCTTTTGGGGGACAGTACCTGTCGTATGATGCTTTTCACGCAGGGTAATGGCAAGCCTTGATAATTGGACTTTATAATCCACTTCAGGAGGTGATAGCCCAGAACCTCAAACACCATACACACATCTGGGGAAAAGCATGTCAAGGGCTACTAACACTCTTAAATTACCTTTAATATCTTATCTGAAAGTGAAAAAAACACATCTTAAAGAATATCTAAAAAGGGCACTTTTCTCACTGAGGAAACAAAGCAAACTGAAAAAGTCAAATAAGGCTGTCTGAGCACAAAGTGTTAGGCTAAAGGGGCACGGCAGAGGGTTACGTGCAAATGTCCCAGAATCGAGTACTGAGGTGCAAATAGACATGGAATAGCTCAAAACTACCAGATGAACACATGTGTAAATATGCTGTGCAATGAAATTGTTCTATACTTGAGCCTGTCAGATGGCAGGGGCTGAAACTAGATCTTCTCCCTGCTGTTATATTAAAAATTAAGAGTCTTAAGAAGAGCTAGCTGAGACAGAGGAATCTTTAAAAAGAAAACAAATGTGTCAGAGAGAAGCTAAATTGATGTGGAGCCTGAGGTGGTGCAGCTGTGAATGTTCAACACTAGCATGAAGACTTGGCCAGAAATGAGAGTGATGATTATGAACAAACCATCAAACTGAGAGAGCAAAAATAGGAAGAGATCCAAAGCAAGAAAACACATTTCCTTGTGTCGCTGCTCTTTAGTTTGAAAATTAAAGCGACAGAAAGCCAGTCCACAGATTTTACAGCTGGTACAAACAGAGAAGTGTCAGTATTCTTATGACAACTATCTTCATCTCTGACAAAAATATTAACACAAACTCAGATTTAGTTCATGGTTTGAGATCTAGTTCAAAGTGGAAAGCACTTCCTTAACGGCCCTTTCTTTTTCTTGTTAAAGATACGGGTTCCATTCATGCCAGAAATTTTGAAGTCATCCAGCATCTGCACCACTTTCTCTCTGTTGGGGTCTCTGGGATCAGTGTTTCTAACCTGGAGAACACAAAGCACACCATTAGAGCAGCAGTAAAATAACATACAGGTGAATGTGAACTTCTTTATTCCCCTTACAGATTTGAGCAGTTTGATTTCATCCAGGGCTGTCTCAGTGTAATGCTCAGCACTTTTTACAACCTTCATGGCAACAAAGCGCTTCTCCCTGAAAAGACATTAATGACTGAACACTGAATCCACTAAAGACAATGTTTCATCATTGAATTCAAATTAATCACAGACATATCAAACATTCACACTGCATTTATATCCAAAGAATGTTTTTACCAAGAACAAACCAAGCCTCTCCTTCACTTCTGTAAAATTGTATTCATTAAACCATATTTTAATTACATTTATCAATGGTTAAACATATTAAAAACAATTTAAAAACATACAGAAATACAGTGACACTTACTGGATGTCCCAGGCCAGCCACACAGTGGAGAAGTGCCCCCAGCCCAGTTTACGGATTACATGATATCGCCCACTGAACAGATCTCCGATCTTCACATGGTGATATCCACCTGAGCAAAGACACAAATACACACACATTGTAAAACTAGGTAGCGTTATTACTATGTAATCAGTAACTGTGTCTAACGATGAATCTGGGCTGTTAAAGGATCTCAGTTAAAAGTTGTGGGTACAGTGTGTGAGAATGAGGCAGGACCTGCACAGCAGCTGGACCTGAGGGAAGCTGACAGAAAGCATGGCATCGACAAATCTTTGGAGGTAAATTAGTTTTACCATAATGGCCTGCACAGACATTAAAAACCACTGGGCTGTCCAATTTTAAGCTATTGCACCAGTGCTCCAGCTACAGCAATACTGTCAACAAAACAACATGGGAGAGCATGTGACTTACTCTACACACAGACCACCGAGTACAGACCCAGGCCCAGTTAATAATCTTTGGGATGTGCTGGAGAGTACCCCTCCAGAAAGAGTTATTTTAGTCATTTAGACAAATAATCACAAAATGAACACACAATTCTGTGGCATGATGAACACATGCACAGGATAGATAGAGGTCCTACCCCTGCAGTAATCATTGGGATCCTCCTGCTCATCATCATCAGAGCCCAGGATCTCCTCATCCTGCTCTGGAACGGGAGACTCTGGCTGACCCTGCTGAGAGCCACCCCCACGACCATGAGTCTCTGGTCTGAAGGAAGAGCAAACAAGGCTGGTTAGGAACAGCAACAAACAGGATATTAACAGCAGAGCACAGGAAGGAGCACAAACTTGTTTTGTTCTTTTATTTGGTAGCCTGAAATAATAAACTATCAGAACTCCTGCAAAGTCCCATGTTCCTTCCAAAGAACTTATCTCACATAATTGTCCAGCACCCTGAGAGTGAACGGTGAAAAGAGGGGTAAAAATCTAAAGATGCAAATAACTGAACCCCAGAAGTTTTGCTATTTGAATGCCTTCAAGTAACCATTAAGCAAAGATCGGCTACTGCACGACATGCACCACAGACAGATTAAAGATTATAACCCATTTTAGTTTGGACTAAAACTAAAAAGTTGGATCAGTTTTTTGGAAAATATGCTTGACAAGGTGTACGATATGCCTCAAAAAGTGGTAAAGACTGGCTGAACAATGAACTAAAGGTACTTCCAGATTTAGACTGAGGAACTGATGTGACATTCGTGATAGCTGTAGCAAGCCCAAGAGCCAGCAACATCAAGGAACACAAAAAGTAAGAAGTAAATGGACAAGATGGGGGCTCTACCCTCAAACTTTGACCAAGTTTTGGCACCCGTCATTTTACTGTCATTGCTCTCGTGCTTTGTACATGTTTGTTACGGGTCAAACTCTTCACAACAAACCCCACTTTGGTCTTAATCGAGGTGTTAATGGAACAGGATAGAATTTGTCAACAAAAATGTACAAACCCAAAAACCTGGGCAATAAACATGTCACCAATAAATAGCAATGACAGAGTATAAATCATCACATGAACCATTTCCAGCCATTAACATTCAGAATGTGGAAGGGATGGATGAACCAAACTATATTTAGACTGTCTTCTCACTGAGGGGAGACAGTAACAATGAAAAACTACACCTCAGAACCATATAATGCCATACTTTTGCGTTGAAAAGCCAACATAAATCTATTTTATTAAACGTTTCGTTTGTGTATGAATGGTGGGGCGAGCTGTTTTCTGATGTGCATCATTTGCTCCAGAAAATGTGTCATAGGAGCAGGTCCAACATTTCACAACAGTTTTTTACTCCCAAAAATGTTTTGGTCTCTGTTTGACAGCGACAAAAGGTTTAGAGCTCATCTTTAGGTCAACAAAGCTCCAAAAACAAAATGTCCATTTGTACATCTTCAGTAAAGCACTATTTCAGTCAGTTAGCCCTTCAGAATCATTTTTTTAGCCACTTGCTGCGTTTCCAAACACAGCCAGCAGCATGCTCAGTAAGGAAGAAGCAGGTTTGGGATCAGCTGTCAAAACCAAGATTATTGACTTTTGTTGATACCGTTTTACAGACAGTAAGAACACGCCATGTTTTTATGCCTGAGTTGATAGAGAAAGCGTAAAAAATAAGAAATCTTCACTTAAATTCTACTTAAGTTTCATTTGCAAATTGTCAAAAAAATGTGAGAGATATATCAAGAGAATAAACAATATACTTGCACCTCACACCCCCACACTGCAGTACAGTACAGTTCAATAACCTCTGTTCGGAACACGAGTATCAGGATACTTCAAGGACTTCTGCTCTATGAGAAAAAACATCTCAAGATTTCTTGAAATTGTGCAGATGTCAAGCTTCAACCCTAAAAACAAACATCCTACCTGCAAGATGCACGGATGCCCATGAGATGTGATGCAAGGAGGAGAGCAAGAACGTACAGGTGCTGAAACAGCCTCTTACTCCATCCACCGGGAAAAACTGAGGGATTAGTGGATTCAGAGGACAGAGCAGGACAGGGTGCGAAAAGTAGCGTGGGGGGGAAAGCGGTCAGAGCTCATGAGCAGCAGGGGGGTGGCAAACAAAATGAGAAGACAGAAAGAGGAGGGGGATGAGAGAGACCGGGAGAAGACGAGTGCAGAGAGGAGAAATGTAAATGCTCTGCTGCAGGCTGAGTCCTGGACTGCAGCGCACACTCCGATTCTTGCTCACTTTCTCCTCTCTCGCAACATTCACCGTCTCTCTGTCCCTGGCTGACCGAGAACTCTCCTTGGCTGTCGTCAGCCCCTGGCCCAGCCCCCTCACTGACAGCTGGGAGATGATTGGGTGATGGAGCCAAGCACTGCATTGCAGGTGAGGCACGACATCAGTCCTCCCAGCACTCCTCCCCATCCAACCAAAAGCAATCTTTCTTTTTAACCCCTCAGTCTGCTCATCATCTTCATCATGGGCTCAACACCCCTCGTATGTACCTGCCATAAAAACGACATTTCACTACGGCCCCCTAACTAAACAGTAAAACTACAGTTCACAGGGCAGTTACAGTGCTCTGGTCCCAGGTGGACTATAAACTACAGAACAGCCCCCATCATGTGTTCTCCTTTTGAATTCTATTCCAAACCTGTGGCTTTAAACCATATATCAAATTAAATGGTAATGTCCACCTGGGAATAAATTCTTAATCCCAACACTTTGGTGAAGCTTTAGAGGACTCCCAAATGTTTGGACACTTGACCAAGTTACTGCCCCATCACTTGAGGTCCCACAAATGATGATCTATGTCAGGTTTCCGATGTGGGGGCAGCTGAAGGGAGAAGTTGTTTATGTCACAAACTGGATCTCTTCCAGTCAGTGGAAAACAAACAGGAGGATGTCCAGCCCCTTGTAGAGCCTGTGTTTGATTAGTTAACTTTAGGTTTGGTGGGAGAACAGTGGAGGGGTTCACCCTGTGGAATCAATATATGAATTCAGTAAAGGTGATGAAAACATTTAAACTTTTCCTCACTGAGGGTATGAAAAGATATCATCTGTTGTTGGTAGCCATGTGACAAAGTGGCGACTAGAACCCAGTCTCTCACCTAATAGCAGCTGGAGTGTGACTGGAGGCTCGTCTGCTAGCGGATCGCCTTAAATGTTACACATTGTAACTCTAAACACACAGAGTTATTTGGCCTCAATATATTTGGAATAAAATGTCACTTCAGTATCGAATGACACATTCTCTCACATTTTGCATTATAAGAAGCATTTATGGAAAGAATTAATAAAAAGTCACAACGTTGCACAATAATGTCCTTAATGACACTAAATATCAGTTGGATCAAGTTTTAATCCGAGTACTTATTTGTCATCTGCCATTTTATCCCTGTAAGATCATTATGGAACTTAAGACATCAGTACTTACAAAACCAAAATGCCCCATCACCATGTGCTTTGTCAAAACCTGTTCACCTTTTTTAAAATAAGATAACCATTTATCTGTGAAGGGAAAATAAACTGTTTGTAGTGATGACTGGGGCACATTTTCCAGTTGAGGAGCAGGAGCTGCACTTGATAACAGAAATCTAATGTCGAACCAAAACCACTTGACATCCTCACGGCTCCAGAGCACACCAGACATGACAGGGTGCCCTGCTTTCTCCTGGCTGCATTGTTTCTACCCATCCAGGCCCATTAGATCTCTGAAGTTAAACAAACGTGTCCCAGAAGAAGGCAGCGTTGCTGGGATGGAGCTGGGCCAAAGCCCTGCCATTCTAGCTCCCCTCCCGACAAATAAAAATCAATCCAAAGTGCCTTGGCAGCAGAATGAAACAGCAGCCCAAGGTAAATGTTCTGAGTGTGCAATGCACAGGTATTGTAAATAAAGGTGGTGCTGTGCTCTCACTTTAGCACCAACACATACTGTTGTCACAAGCTAGAGATAATGTTCTGTATCTTCTCCATGTTCCTGTTAAATTACATTTTATTTCTATAATAATTAGCATATCAGAAAGGACTTTGAAGGTGAAGTCCAAACAACACAAAAAGAATTTAAATAAGACAAAAGAGGAAGAGAGAAGGCACTACACACTGCATACAACAGCATCAGTTTCACCACTGCAGGGTTTGCTGGTTCAACCAAAAATAAAGAAAATAAAAACATTGGGAAGAAATGTATTATAACCAAACCCAATAGCCTAACAGCATGAGGCTACACACCTCTTACTTAAAAGTAGCACAAAAAATGATATATCTATACATTTGTGCCATTGCCAGGTATGGACGACAGTGCAGTGGTTAGAGGGGCACAGAGCTGGAGTGGACTGCAGATGATAGAAGAGTTGATGGCTTATGTAATGAACCGCAGCTACGGCTGGAAAAGAAAGTCAAAGATAAAAGCCAAACAAAACACAGGGCAAGAGTACTGGTAAACTGCAATTCAGCCTAATCCTACTTTTGGGGTATAATTGCAATTGAAACACAGGAAGTTCCAGAAACAAGTAGTTTCATGTCGAAAATTGTTACAGTAAAGAAAAGGGGGGAAAAAAACACCTGAGTGTTCTGCAGAACTATCAAAGGTATAATTCCATCTGGGACCTATGTGTGGTTCTGACTTGTACACACTGAGCAAAATACATAGGTAGTGTGAAGTACTTAGTGAGGCAACAAGAGTCTGCAAAGACTGCTTAATAAAAAATACATAAACCCATCAATAAGTCAGCAAAGCACAGTGAAAAGTACAATCCCACAAACCATATACAACACAACTCTTCTACCATAGCTCCCACCATCTCAGATTTAACAAGCAAACCAGAGCCATGGCTGCCTGGTACATCTTTTTTTACTTGCTTTATCTATCAAATGGCAACACAAGAATTCTTCCACTCACTTGCATGTTAGACCACTGGCAAGTTTCACCACAGCGGTATTGATTGAGAAGATCCAGTCCAGGAGCCACATTACCTCATCGACTCAGCTTTGTCACACTACACTATGACAAACTTACGAAGAGGTGAATGTCATTTCAATCTAAGGCTGGAGACGGCTGAGGACTGGGACAAGCTCTGCGCTCTTCTGCCCTGATTCTCTAAGCGTACCGAGAGCGCTGTGTCCCTCTCACTACTGCTACCACAAAAAAAAGAAAAAAAAGAAAAGTGACAAAAGAGAGTGGGAGGGAAGGAGCACAGGGGGAGTGAAGCTAAGGAAGAGAGGGAGACAAACAGGGGGTTGGTTTTCAAATTGTGCTTATGACTTACTTATTAGTTATTTATAGCAACAAAGCCTTTTCAAATGAAAAATGTTGTAGCGAGGTAAGTAGAGCCATGCTGTTTTATAAAAGGCTTCGAGAACTGTGAAGGGTGCTTCATCAGCTAGCCATCCCCACCTGATCGTCCACACCTTAATAAAGTTACTGCAAAGCCCTCGGCACCACAGCTTTACAATAAAGAACAAGTGCACGCCAGTGGAAGAAGCCCTTCCACTGTCGCTTACAGGATATATAAACAGGGATCAACAGGGGTCTCCTTAAGGGTTTGCAGCCTGGACTGTGACCCATTTAATGGCCAAACAGGGCTACACATCAAACACAGGGTTTACATGCGAGTAGAGAGACAGGCTTCTTTTGCACAACGAAGTTCAGCATCTCACCAACTCACCATTCCCCACGGCTACAATAGTCTGTCTGTCTGTCTGTCTGTCTGTCTGTCTGTCTGTCTGTCTGTCTGTCTGTCTGTCTGTCTGTCTGTCTGTCTAGAGAGTGAATTTATAAGTGACCACTGTAAACACTCTCTAACACACACAAAGTGAACAACATAGTTCTTTAAGTATTAAGTGGGATATTGATTGAACTGGGGGACATTTTTGGCGATCAATTGATTTGGGCACCAATTAATCTTTTACAGAGTGAAATTATTAAATTGCAAGAACATGTTTTAAACAAAAATGTGGAGGGCTGCAAGATTATATCTTCCTTTCATGTTGTTCAGGAGCACGTCTTGGCTGCCTAGTAGGAATGGAACTCACATCCATCTAACTAACCCACTGCTTTTTTCTACACGATCGAACTTATACGACTGAACACAACCAAGGTTAACTTCTTCTTTATTGTGAATGGCCATGATTTATCTGGAGTTAGTTGAAAACCTTGAATTTAGGGATTAATATCACTGGCAGCATGTATCTTATTTGCCGTGTTGTGTATCATTCCATTTTCAAGTTTGACAGGGTAATCAACTGCATATCAACACCTACGTGTTGTGCAAAAATAAAATGTGCTCAGTCCTGCTCTTTGGGAATGTTTCACAGTCAGCTGGGGAACATTCTGGAAGACAGTTTAATGTAGGCTGGATCTACAGCCATGGAACATGCAGGCCTTGACTTAATTCTAAGAGATTTTTAGCTTGGAGGTTTAGCGACTAGCTCTCTCACTATCTGAGATATATCAATATTATGTCTTTAACTTGTATAAAAGAACTTAAGTCAGTGGATTATACATGAGAATCATGGCATTAAAACTTTCTTGAGTGCAGAATAACCAGGAATATCTGTGCATACATTGATGGGTTTGCAGATTTAAGGGTCTACTTACAATACAGTACATATTCATAGCACAAGTCAACTAAAGGCACTTCAAATTGTGTAGCAAAATTAAATCCAATTAAATCAAGGGTAATAAAAATCTTAATTAGTACAATCAATACTTCAGCACATCAAATACTCTTTTCATTACAACCCCCTGTTATGCACAGGGTTGCTGTGCATAACAGGGGGTTAGAGAGCAAAACCTCCTTTTCAAGGGAGGAATACTCAAACAGTCTGACTCAGGAAGAGCAGACACCTGCCTTACCCAGCTGGGAGTCAGCATTCATAACAACAAAGCCTCATGCCAGACATAAAATGCAGTTTGACGCATCTAAAAGGTTCCATTTACATTTGAAGCACAGTTTTAAGATGGGGTGAGTCAACAGGGCCATACAATTATGTGGGATAGTCTTGTACTGAAATGTCAATTTCCTCCATGTTGTTTTAGATGCAAAATAATTCAGTGAAGTACGGCTGATGGCAGTATAAACCACATTTGAATGGTCTAATATGGACTACAGAGAATCACTTTGAGTAAATTAAAATAAATACTTGACATTTTTTAATTATTTGAGGTCTACTGAATCCACTCAAACGCAAATAAATAAACACTTTCTGTGCATGTGTTCTTAAAATTTCAAGTAAACAAGTAGCTTACAGGAGTTGGCTAAACTTCCCATTGGTGTCCTGAATGCGGGAATTTAAGAACAATTCGAAGATGGCTGTGTACTTACTTTTTGCCTGGTTTTCTGGGCCTTGTCCTTTTCTTCCGTGCTTGAATTGCCAGTACTGAAAAGTAAAGATAACAGGTGTGACACAGTTTATATAGGGCCAGGATGTGTGTGTCTATGTTGAGGTATTAAGTGTATTTTCCTATAAAATGTATTGCAGTGGCACGGACAGGTGTTGAAAACTGGTATTCGAATCTAAAATTAGCAAAACAAGAATTATAAGCAGGTTACAAAGCTGAGGGAAATCATACCAAACTGTTCATTTCCAGGCGGTTTCATTTCGTTGCTAACAGCAACTTGGTACTTTTTACGGTTAATGTAACGCTTCTGCCAATTATTACACGAAGCTACGATTACACGACGCTACGGTAAAGTTGTTAACAACGTACAGCGTGTTTGAACTGCTACTGACTAAAACGGTTTGACAACAATGTGAAGCTAATCTGATGGCTTGAGCTAGCTTAACGTTACCGCACAACACACAGCAGAGCGCATGGTCCACTTTTACTTTTCATCAATTGTTGCGTGGTTTGTCGTGACGTTCACTCACACCGTTCAAACAAAAAGTAGCTGATCTAACACATGTCCAAAGGGAAAAGGTTGAGCGTTGCTACTTTTTCCGTGTAAAATGCATTTTGGTTTAGTTAGCAACGTTACCTTTTCTTTCCATGCTGAGAACCAGTCAAGGGGATGGCTGCGTTCAAGGGCTGTTGGAAATGTGAAGACTATGAAATGCGCGGAATTGACTCAACTGCGGCTTGCACAGAAATGGCATTTCATGTCAGCTAATTGGCATTTTTTGTCAAGTTTATGGAGCATTCATTTAGTAGATATGTATTGCCCATGTTGTTTTGTTATTCCATATGCACAGAAACCTCTGCAATTTCCTTTTAAATGTTTGCATTTTTAGTAGTAAATATCGTATTAACTATCATGACAGGAAATGGCCTAAAACTTGTACAGTACAATTCCTAAGTTACTGTACATAACTACAAGGCTAATGTGTATCTGTTCGTTTTTTTCTTTACTTACTCTTTTGTTCTACTTGATCAGATGTGTGTCAGTTTGAAAATGTTGCTTAAATTTTTTTCGGACTTTTCAAGTTATTTAACGATTTCGGACCAATTGTACAAAACACCAACAGAAAACATATTAGGTGATACGTATATTTTTTAACTCTTTTCAGCAAAGACCTTGGTGGAAAAGCCCCGTCATTGCCGGCACTGCAAGCATTACGCTTTAAGGAAAGCTGCCAAGACAGGAGGAAGACAAGTGATAAGCAGCAATTGTCTGTTTTCTGTTTTTTTTATTATTTTTCTTTTTGCTGGTCAGCGTCATGCTTTGACGCACCAGACGCATCAATACATTGGCTGCGACATAAACACCAGTTCGCCTGCTTTTGAAAATGCTATCAGGTCGTGTTTGTAATTTGTCAATACGTTATAAGAAAAACATGCAAATAACTGATCATGAAGTTAATCAGGCTCGTATTATTATGAGAATCTGACAGCAGATATTCTGTCTCAGTGTGGCTTTTCTGCTTGTGTCAACAGGGAAGGTCCTAATTCCAAGTGATGCTCTTCTACTTTCCTTTACATTCTTTAAGGACTGTATATTTCACCAATTATAAGAATATGAAGAAGAAGAAGAATATGAATTTATGTTTGACTCCTGCTAACCATTCACAAGCCTTAAACACATCTCAAATTTACATAAGAAAAAAATAGTAACCCCCACATTTGCATATTCACTGCATATCCAGATGTTTTCCACATAACTAGTTGGTTCCTTCTGCTATATGTGATAACCCCCCAGGCCTAACTACAGCGTTTGCAGCAGCTACATTATTTGAAGGTTGAACATGAGCTGATCAGTATGGTTAAACGTAGAATTAGGCTGAGCTCAAAACATCACAGTTTACCATAAAATATGGCATATAGTACATACATATAATATCTATGTGTGCTTGTGGGAAAGACAAAAATGAGCAGGACATGGTGGTGTTGTTTGCTGTGTAATTTTTCATTTGTAAAAAAGGATTGTTGTTCTGTTTTTTCCTTATGCCTTACAGTTTTGTCAGGTTTTAATCACAACCTTTAGCTACAGGTGCCTTGATTTATTTTGTTTTTCTCAATCATTCCCTTTCATCTAGTTTCAAAGATGGATTTCTATAAATAGCTTTCTCTCTTAATTACTAAAGGGGCTGCATGAAAGTGCCAAATACACCTGAGGGAAGAATCAAAGCTGCAACAGCCAATGAGGAGCACCGAGCCAGCACTGTTATACATTATAAAGGAACTTTCTATTAATTACCCTCCAACACAGAAGGCTGGTGAAACACCATCAAAACATGAGAGGTATGACTTACTTTCTCAGTCATTTGCATGCATGTCCTGGGCAAACATTCACCTGAAAACTACCTAACAACACATTTATATTGTGTTGTATTACCATAAAAGACAGCGTTCTGCATGTTTGCATTCAACCTTTATACCTTAGGATGAAGTATTTCTATAGTATTAGGGGCTTGCCACACCTTCATTTTGTCTGTCCTGGAATCGTATACAACACTTAAATCGCGTTGAATAATTCATTGAAAATTGGACATCTTAACACATTTGCATCGTGAATTTTGAGTAGTCAGTAGCTACTGTTCTACTAGGTAGCACTTTATACATTTCATGGTACGATTGTAGGAAGTTTGAGTACAACACAAAACAAAAAAAATTTACAAACAGAATTTAGAGATTCATCCAGCACAGGGAAAGGTTCTGAAATACAGAGATACGGTTTGGCTCTAGATGTGTTTTGCTGCCTCCCAGTGGCTACTGCTAAATGAAATCAACACACACCTTTCCAGCTTTGAAAAATAGTAGCCTTTATTTACTCATGGTGGTATTTACAGATGGCATGGCCTGCTGTCTCAGTACACGTGGTCGAAAATGTAAAAACAAAAAAAAACTAAAACAAAACAAGGCAAAGCAAGCATAACCAAATAAGCTACTGAGGATGGTAAACGGATGAGATGAAAATCCGATTGATACGGTTGGTTGAGAGTGTGGCATGTTGAGGCGTCTGCACTGCCCTTCAGCATCTAGTGGGTAAACGTACACACGCGTGTGTCCCGCTGTGGCATTCAGCTGGACAACTAGGTGCACGGCTCATAAACTGATCAATATTACAGAATCACAGAAAACATCAGATATTGATTCAACAATTAAACACACAGTAAAATATTATGTTAGAGAAAAGAAATACATTAAACAAGTTTTGAAAAATCTGATGTGACACGGATGATACAACCAGAGCAACAGGGAACAGTTTGTGTGTGGCGTGGAAATGTCATTTCACTGGAGAATGGAAATATTTGTATGCTTAAGTTTTAAACTTTAGTGGTTTGTTGATTGTTGTAAAACAGTGATTTCATAAGGATCTACTTTTTGTTTTTACTTCAGAACATATTCGTTCTTGATGCCTGATGAACAGGATCATTTGGAGGGCAGTAGGTAAAGGAAGATAAGATTCATACATGCTCAGCTGCCCTTAAAACAAACTGCATAGCATGTTTCTCAAATTCAATATCAGCGATACAGATCTGTTGATAACATTATGGATTTAGATGTAACTGCAGCCACTGTGGGGACACATGAAGCGTTTGGATTCTGGTACAATAAGCTCTCTATAAATAATAAAAACCATAAATTCTGACAAATAATATCCTCTTTCACATTGATATACAAACGATATAAGAAAAGATCATAAATACAGGGCAAACTGGGGCCCAAAACATTCAACAAACACCAATAGTAATGTGGTTTCGAAATGCAAAGTGATTAAATTACACGGTCAATTGATGCTCACACGAAAAACATCAAGTGTGAATAAACTATGCAGCCAAACGAGGCTTCATCATGCTCTGGATCATCGGAACCAGATGCTGTGAACTCATCATGAGACAGAAAAGTGGAACTTGAAGCATTTGGTGAAATGGATAAGCAATGCTCCCTAAACCCATATGTCTCTTAAAAAATGAAAATAAAAATTGCGACAGCAAATCTACAAATCCAACAATAAGAAATATGAAGTCTAAAATTTAATTTCTTGGAGTGAATATTTGACATGTTTTTTTATTCTACCCTATACACACATGTAATAAATTACATAGAATATCATCTAATGCCGTTTCAGGATCAACTCTAGAAATCAAATCGATATAGAAGAATTGAGCTCAGTTGTGCCTCAGTAAATCATGACTCCTATGCAAAATGGTAACCGTCTGGCCAAAAATACTTATCTACAAATACCGTTTGCTGTAATATTGACTCAGTTTGATATACTTGCAGAAAAAGCATTTAACTCAATGTGTTAAAGGCTGAACTTTATTTCTTTTAACAATCTTGATTCAATGTTTCCCCACTCTGGCAGTTACTGCCAAGAACAACTTAAAAAACCTGTGTCACTAGTTTGATTCCCTCAGTTCTCTGTAATAAAATGTTGCATACTTTTAGATTGGTAAATTGAAGCAGGGTTAAAGATGAAACTTAAATATCTGTGAGGAATAAACATTAGGTCCAAAGTCTGCCTCGGGAAACTGAGATGCAAGTAAAGAAAAACAGCAGGGTTGATGGGGGGGTGGGGTGTGGGTGAACAGGATGTCTACATTGGTTTTTTTTTACACCTAATTTTGCTACATCCCCAGATATGAATGATGGCAGGCACTTAATGTCATGGTTGTGTGCGTGCATGGACAAAATAATAGATAGTCACCTGGAACTGACAGTTTTTACAGAGCATTTTAAAAAAAGAAAGGAAAAAAGGAAGAAGAAAGCCCTCCTCGTCCTCAGGATTCCATCTCATCTCCATCATCTAACGACGGTGGTACAAAGCTGACAACTTCATCATAGGTTAAGTCTGAGGAAAAACAAACATCTCCATTAACTGCCTGCACAACAATTGCCACAAATAAGAACCCTAGACTCACATTAAGGCCAAACTTACTCTTCCACTCATCAATTTCCAGCTCTCTGCTTTCGAAGCTCTGGTCATAAGGCTCTGCTTCAGGCTCATCATCTGGATCATGGTATTGAGCAAAGTACGGGTGGGCCAGGGCCTCAGACGCCGTGATCCGTTTGTCCGTGTCCAGGACCAGCATTTTCTCCAGCAAGTCCACCGCTGCAGCAAAGCAGCAATAAAAACAGGGAAAGATTATTATACAAGACTGGAAATCAGTAGGAGGAAATGGACAGCAGGTAATAGTTACAGAAAGTTGAAACTATTCCCTGTAACAGTCAATCCAAACATGACATCCTGTTTTCACACATTGACTGTTTAGTCAACTGATGATGAAATCGTCTAAAGATCTGTGTAAAAACTGGGCCGCCATGCCGGGTCTTCCTTGCAATGGACAGTCCAGAGCGTATCCTATTTCTTACCAGTTTGTTCTGTTTGCATCTCCTTTAATGTACGAAAGAAAAAAACAACTACAGTCAGTCAGTATGACTACACGTTATTGACAGATCATACCAGGAGACTACCTGCTCTTTTTGTCCAATCTACATACTGTTGCATTGAAGCGTTTTCTCACCAGCACTCTGTCAACAACCCCGATCTTGCTCTGAATATACATTTGTTGTGGTGTGTTTGTTTTGGCAGTGAACCAAAAATGCATGGGAAACCTGGAGAGTTTTCAGACTGCAGGAAACTAAATGCAGGAACTGAATCGACTGAAATCACCCATAGAAGTAATACAGGTTTAAATAAAAACAACAATTTATTTTAATGTTGGAAATAAATAAAAGTGTGACGATGCTCTCTCTCTGCCTCTCCCAAAAAGGAACAACTAATCGTCTCAGTTGCTGGTTGCTCCTGTCTGCAAATGAATCATACGCAATAAACAAGTCTGTCACAACTTGTTTTTTACATAAAGTAAAGTCTGCTTTTAGCTGAACATTTTTTAAATGCAGTGGCATAAATCTTTGTGGAGACCCGTTTAATATGTTAGCAACATTTAAAGAAAAATATTTTTTAAAAACGCATTGCTATGACGATATGCGTTTTCCTATTTACATAATTATGCCTTAGATAGTGAAGTGTGAAATGTTAAGCAATTATGGAAAAATCTAACCAGAGCAAATGAAAACAAGTAAAACCAACATCACAGATACAGATGCATACCACTAGAGGGTGTCAGCAGTTGCACTGTCGTGCAAGTGGTGGCAAGCGGTGGTGCAATACTAAAGGTGGAACTTACCAAGAGGGTTGGCACCAATAAACACATCAGCAAAGTTCCTCTTGGGCATGTGGGGAAGCGAGTTGATGTAGTTCCTTGCCTGAAAAAAAAGAGAGAAAAGAATGAAAGCCAAGCTTTCAAAAGATCTTAAAGACATAAAGGAGACTTTAAACTGTGGCAGCTGACATTGCTAAATGTTTTGACACACCTTCACATTCAGTTTGAATGGGAAGGTGTGTGGGAGGTGTGTAGGTGCAAACGGCATTCCAGTCAACTTTGTACTTCAATACCCAAATCACACAAACATTGTGGCCTATTGGCTGCGCTGGCAAAGCACTCTGAGCAGCCTCGCTGTGACAGGCACGCTGAGTCAGAGAGGAAACAGGGGAGACGTGGAGAGAGAGAGGGCAGAGAGTGGTGTGCTAACTGGTGTGGAAACAGAGACTGTTGGTGTTTGTCTGTAAACAGTTAAGTTGCTGACGGGCAGAGGCTGCTCGGCCCCCCGACTCCACTGAAGGAATTCCACGTGGGAAGGCGAGAGGGAACAGGTCTCACCTCATGGCTGGGCATCCTGCTTATGAGGGAGGCCGGGGGTGTCCCCGTCAGGCGCATTATCTGCTGCAGCTGGTTTATATCTAAAGCTTCTGAGTCAAGGGGCATCATAGCACTGAGGTCAGCAAGTCAAAGAGCACGGGGGCTCAGAGGAGTTAACTTTCAGGTGGAAAAGAGTAGATTAAAAGGGTGTGTGGGGGGGGTGGCAAACACAGTGAGGAAGAAAACAGTCCAAGCTCAGAATGTTAAACATTGTGCAGCACTTCACTGCTGTCATATGAAGAGATTAGGACTCAAAATTACAGTAGAATGACAGTGTATGCTAGAAGGAGAAGGGAAATGAATAAAGCACTGTGCTCAAAGGCAGAAGAGGCCGTGAATTCCATCATCACACCGTGTTGTGCCAAACGCATGCAGGCAAGAGGCAGCAGCAACCACACATGGTAGGACGCCAGCTATTGCCACTGCAGCAAGGGGCAGTTCAACAAACCAGGGTGGGATGACACTCACAGACTCTGACGAGATTTTCATCAAGAGCTCGGGCCCCGGAGTTCCGACCAGCATCATTATAAGCTTCAACTGATCAATGTCTACCACCCACATGAAGGAAAACTGAAAGGATGGAGAGTTTTGGATAAAGCGGAGAGGAGTGCAAACCTGTCTACATGCGAGAAAAAAAAGAAAAAAATATGGTTTATTGACAAGCAGTTGTAGGTGATAAAAGTAAAAACATATGAATAAAAAAAAGAAACAAGGTACACCTGTTTATGCAACACTTTGATTCCCATGATTCATGCAGGAAACACCAAAGCATATGACAAATGGAAGATGGCAATATAGAGCACAATGTAATAAAGAAATCCAGGGAGATCTGAGTAGTCGTGTTTTTCTTTACGTTCTCACGTCAGATTTCGCAATCCACTTTAATAACCTATTAACAGCCCATGGAGGATGCTCTAAGTCCATTAAAAAAACAAAAAGCAAACAGCAAGTTGTTGTTTTTTTTTCTCGGCCAAATTGCCAGTCACAGAACATTGTCTTATAAACCACATGAAAATTCCCCAATTGATGTAATGCTAAGAAATAATGAAAGGTATTGTGTTATTCAGGAGTAGATTGGACTTTTTCATTAAGCTACAATATATATATATTTTTTTTAAATAGAGACCATGTCAGGTGACATTGCAAATGGGGCAGCAAACATGCCACAAATTAACTATTTTCACTCAGTTAAATCAGTAAAAAAGCTAAACACTTTTGTTGGGAATTCTGGAGGCAAAACTTGGGGGCATTATTGCTTGAGAAAGATTTTAAATGACTGACTGACTGTTGACTTGGCTGCAGATTGATGGCTGCAGATTGATGTCTGCTGATGGACTGCAGCTCAACATGCTAGAAATGTGGTCAAATGGCATGGCGGATATCATCTTTAGAATCTGAGCTGCTCACATTAAACAGAGAAGCAATTATCGAAAAGACTGAAACTCTTAACAGCCAATGCATGATATTGATTCTCTAAAATAATGGCCCCACTAAGAGTTGTGATACGATTACTGCTCCTCAGATGATATTATAACCAACAGAAAAACAGCACATACGCAGCTGTACATTTAATGGATCCATTACCCTAAGATCAGCAGTAATACTGCAGCCTTTTTTACTCTTCATTATCAACGCTTCATTCTGTATAAAAAAACAAAAATAAAACAAGTCTGCAGATTATATTCAACACAGACCAGTGTGAGGAGACAGAGCAGAGAGACAGAGGTACTGTACATTCAGCAGCCTTTGTTGGTTAGCTCAAAAACTTCTGAAAGTGACTCAGATTTGGTGAGAGGGCACACTCTTAGACACACACCCCCACAGGGTGAGCAGAGAGGGATGAGATAATTGATTTTCTCAAGCAGGAAACACAAAGACGTTGTGCAACAGCCAGCTTTTGATATTTAACAGAACCACAGCCTCAGTTGTTGATGCTGGTTCCTGTATTTGAGTCTGTGGGCGTTCCTATCGGTGTCCTCCTGTGTGTTTTGGGAATAAAAACAGTATACCTGCTTTGCTGCGTGCACGGCTATCTTTGTGGGAGGGAGCATGTATTGTACCGTGAAGAGGCAGCGGACACAGAAGTGGGAAGCACTGAGTCATGCACACAACAGGAGACTCTCAGCAAAAGAAAATCAGTGTGTGTATCACTTTACATGCACAGGCTTCCTTCACTACTGAGACATGGAGCTCAGGAACATCCAGCATCACCTTTGAGCAACTCTAAACCAGCAAATGGTGCAGTTGTGTGTGTGTGTTCACAGCAGGGAAGCTGCAGACTGCATCAACCCTCTCGGAACGCAGAGAGTAGGTGGACAAGAAGAAATTGTTTGCTAATGCCTCGAGGAGACAGTGCTGAAAGGATACGATCTGTGCCAGGGAAGAGCGTTCGTCCTGTCAGCAGTTCAGCCATGATGCAGCCCACCGACCAGATATCCACTGATAAAAACAAAGGGAAACAGCAACATTGAAACTTGCAGGATAATTAAGAAGAAAAAAAAGATGTTGGAGACAGTGAAACATAACTTATTTGTTGTTGGAAAACTTTTTTTTTAAAGTCCATTTGATTTAAGTTAGATATTTGTAGCTACAGGGGAACCTATATGTGGAAACTCTGAAGCAGAAATAAACATTTCCTAAAGAGGAAGATGTATGCTTTGAATGTTTTGGCTTGTGTAAGCCATAGCCTTTAAATATCACTCTGAGTCTCTGAGACTGCCCTCTGGTGTGATTATGCATTTGTTGTATGACCTGGAAACAACTGAAAATCTGAGGATTCACCCGTCATGTTGTAGTGCATCCAGTTGAGCATGATCTCTGGGGCTCGGTACCACCGGGTGGCAACGTATCCTGTCATTTCATCATCTGTGTGCCTCGCCAAACCAAAGTCAAGGATCTGAGAGAGAAGAAGATGGTATAACTGACTGAACCCTCTCCACTTTTACAATTGATCAAATCACTTTTGGTGCCCACTTTTACCTTGAGCTCACAGTCCTCATTCACAGCCAGATTACTGGGCTTCAAGTCCTTAAAAAAGGAAAACGAAGGTTTAGAAAATAGCTCACTAGTCTTTTCTTGATAAAATCACCCACAACCATATTTCATCACGGACAAATAAGGCGCTATTTAGATTTGATGAAGAGTGCTACCACAGTTTTATTTACACATTCAGGAGGCTTCTCACTTACTCTGTGGACGATCCCTGCAGAGTGGATATACTGTGGGAAAAAGGAAGAAGAAGAGAATCATTTAGTTAAAGCATTTTAACCTGGAAGACAGCAAAAATTGATGCTCTGCCAGTCACTGCCATACTCTAAACTTTTTAGAAACATTCAATTACAGCTGACTAACAAATCTATAAGCTTTTCCCTTCAAAATAAGTATGACATTCTGTTTATGTTTTCTCTAACTCCAAGTATAACTGAAGTGAGTCTAAATGTGGGCCATTTTGATGCCAAGAGATCTGTACACGTTTACAGGTGCATTTAAAATACAAGAAAGCAGATCCCTGGAAATCAGGCTGAAAGCTGACTTAAAGCTCACTAAACAGAACAGTTTTACTACAAAAACAACCAAAACCAAAATGTTAAAAATGTGTCTGACAGCTGCGGTACATCGACTTCAGCCAGTTCCTGAGTCAGTGCGTACTTTGCACATATCATCACGTACCGTGCAGCTTATTATCCTGCTGGTAATAAGGACGTACAGACAACGGGTCAGGCTCACCAACCTTTAAGCCTCTGAGGATCTGGTAGATGAGAAACTGGACGTGGTCATCAGTCAACTTCTGACACTTCACAATATTATTCAGATCTGCTCCCATTAGGTGCGTCACCAAATATCTGCAAATCACAAAACTAATCAGATGCAGTCCCGTGATGCAAGGACGTCTGTTTACTGTATCTTTATTTAATAAAGTCTGCGGTTCCTATCTCACTACAATATTGTTTATGATCGTGTTTGAACTCGTAAATTACTTTCAACTTTGTTTTTAAGCTGTTTTTTATTAAAGTCATCCATCGCTGTCTCCAATGAAATTGTCATTAAGGTCAAACTACAAGTCAGCGAAACCATTTTATGCAATCACATTTATACATGAGGAAGAGGCTGTAAAGAGGATTTTTATTTTCCACTTCTCTTTTTTTTTTTACAGTGATTTTTTGGGAGCTGTAAAGCAAATGTGATTCGTCTGACCTCAATCAAAAAAAAAAAAGGTAAAAGGTTTCCCTGTGAGCAACGTGCACCACTGTCCTCTTCTCTGGTGTGTGTGTGTGAGGACCATTTCCCTGATGCTTCCTGACTGTGAGGAGGTGTCACACAGATATCAGTAGTGTGTGTGTGTGTGTAGGTTAATCTCACATTTCCACAAATGTGCAACATGCTGATGACGCAACACCTCGAAGAGAATTCAAGGACGCTGATTGAGTATTCTGTGCACACACATGCACACACTGTACCCCCAGAGACTGCCAGATGGCCGTTACCATGGAGACTAGCTGTGATGTGCTTTGTGCACGTGTGTTCACCCTACTTTCACCTTGGTACAACTTGCCGCATGCTGGACTCGCATGCAGGCATGGCCTCTTATTTATTGGCATCTGTTAGGTTTGCAGTTTGCAACAATCGCCTGACGACATGAGCGGTTTCACTGATTTGAAGAAAAGCTCCAGATGATGAGATGGAGGCAGAGAGACAAAGAATAAACACTAAGGAGGCAGAGGGGATGTGAAAGTAGGGAGTGTTTAGGAAAGAGAGAAAAAAAAGGGAGACTTACACATCATTGAACTCCTCTAAGCTTGTAGCCGGTGTGAAAACATCTAAGAGCCCGATGACCTGGAGGCAAAGACATAGTTTGATAATCATTTTGAATAATTCCAATGAATGCTTTTGATCAGTGCATTGCTTTTTGTTCAAAATACATGGCTGGTCTCATTCTTAGTAACACATTCACAGCAGGTTTGTGTGTTAAAGGATAACAAACTTTCAAACAAGCATGTGTCATTTTTACCATTTCAGCTATTTTCAGTACGTAGTTAGTCAATCAAACACCTCCTGTGCCTCCCATCCACTTTCCTTTTTCTAATAATTCACTTTAGACTCACTGATTTTCTCTGAGCTTTGCGAGCGACCAATACTGTGAAGATTGCATTTCCTTTCTTGTAGCTTTCATGTCAAGCTGGTGTCACAGGCACTGTAAGAGCTTCAATTATTTGCCAAAGGGAAATCAAAAGGAAATAAAAACGTAAGAGTTTTTCAAAAAAGGAAAAGAATGAACCTGAGCGGCTAAAATTCCTACCAGTTGAAAGTGCTATTTAATACTGCATGTTCTTTTTTCCTCCTCTAACATTGCTAAGCTTTGAGCAGCACAATGTGATCTAGTCTTTCAACTACTGTGCATGCATTTTGCAAGATCTTTTAACCCCATCTGCACCCACTTGCACTCGAGTGAGTTGGTGACTGCATAACAGGAAAACCAGAAAAAAGTGTCAAATTGATGAATGTGCCTTTATGCTGTGATTGTTTTTGAATAAAAAAAGAAAGAAAGAAAAAGACAAGACTTCTTGCAGCTCTGGAGTGGAGCTGGGTAAAGGAGAGGAGAGCAGGGCAAAATACAAACGGAGGATCATCCTGTGTCTGTGCACATATTGATGTGCATGCATGCATACATATGTATGTATATGTATATATGCACACAGACAGAGAGCAACCCTGAGAACCAACCCTGCCCCCACCCCCCTGGAGAGGGGCCGAGGTGGATAGGTACTGTGAAAACATTGAAACGGCCCACCCACACAAGAGCCAAATCTGCTGCCGATTGGTGGGACTGAAGCCACAACAAATGGCTGATTGGTTCATGCGGGCTTCCCGAAAATCAAAACAAGAGGAGTCTCCTGGCAACAGGATGAGCAAAACACAGAATCTTAAATCTATGGAAATCACAAATTGGCTTCAAAACAGTGTCGATTTACATACGAAAGCACAGTTTCTCCTTCCTGTAGAGAGCATGAAACCGGACCATGCAACAGCTTGTTCTCACCCTGATAAATGTTTTTAAAAAATAGGACATATATTTGGATTTCGAACGGACAAGTCATCAGAGTGATGTTACCTGATATTACCTGTTTGCATTCAGCACAATGATAAAGGCACAGAGTCTACATAATCCTAAATAATCTGCGCTCCATGAAAAACCTATTCCCAAAGATACTGAGGTATTCCAAAACTGCTGAACAAAAATGGTGACACTGTTCCAATAAAGAAATCTGGCCTATGGAGTAAACGGGTTTGTTCATTAGATGGCAGCAGTTTTGAAAAAAAATGTTTCAAGAAGAATATTGTCACGACGATCCCTCAGTAAATTTGAAGCGCATTTCACATCTGCTGCACCGCAGTCTGAGATAAGAGCAAACATGGCTTTGTAGAGCCTTTTGTACCCTGTGTGATCACTATCTTGCATAAGACTTTTGCAAATAACTTCACCCTAATATATTAATTAGTCTACCGGACTTGAATGGGATTTTTTGCTTCTTGTAGTTGCTGAAACTTTGGAGCTTTAATTAAAGGGATGACTTCCCCAAAGCAATAAATCTATGTGAAATATTTTATGAAATTAAACTAATCTAATTCTCTTGTGGTGGGCCTTTGTTGGTGGGTTTCCCCCCCTTTCAGAATTTCTGAACTTCCTCAGGTTGACATTTCCCGGAAGAAACTGAACTTTTAGTTCTAAAACTGCTTCGACTCAAAGTGAACCCACTCCTCCAGCTTGTCACTCAGCAGAAACTCTTTCGTATTATGTCTACTTACTGTAAACAGGCAAAAGCCATTTAAAAAGGCAAACCTCTCTTGGAAGAGGACCTAAGTGAGGACATAGTCCCAGACTGGATGTAGAAATTCTTCTGCACTTCATCATAGCCACAGGCTGTACGCAAAGATCCTATCTTCTAGGCCGAAATGTGGGCTATAAGCAGGAACAGCTCAGGGAAGTTTCTCTTTGTATGTGGGCAGGGCACTGATGCCCAGCAAACGAGATACACACATAAATCGAAAGCAGCGACTGTGGGAGGGGAAGAGAGTCCACTAGCACGGATTGAAAACGCTGCTGCATTGAATTTAGAGGAACAGTGCAGACAATGAAGGGCTGCGACTGCAAACTCCCTCTTTAACAAGCTGTCATTTTAAATTCCAGTTTTGTAGCCTCGAGCAGGAGGGGGGGTTTCATTTCAGCCGAGGGTGGCCGACATGCAGTCAGACACTGCCATGTTATGTGGAATCTTGTGGTATGTGAAAAAGAAACAAAAAATATCCAGACAGCTCTAATTCAACTTCACTAAGAAACTTTACCACTCCTCAGTTGGTGAGCAGATAACTGTAACTTATTACAATAATCAATGGATAAAAAGCATGAGCAGAGTATGATCTTCTCTGGTTGTGTACAAAAATATAGAAACAATTTTTTTTTAAATTCCAGGATATGAAAAATACAGAAATTTCAACAAGGTAAGCAGTTGTGAGGAGACTGCTTCTGCAAATGACTTCCCTCCCTGAAAAGCTCATATGCAGCCTTTGCCCCGCCAGCGAGAGTACAGAACAATGAATTTACTGTACAGAGGAGACGAGACGACGGCTGCAGATTTAAGGCTCCGGGTGTGAGCGGGGCCTGTCAGCAGCTCCACTGCGGGTGACTTACGTTCTCGTGCTTCATGTGTTTCAGCAGCCGCAGCTCTCTGTATGTTCTCTTTGCATGGATGATGGACTGAAAGGGTCTGGACAACTTCTTCACCGCAACCTTCAGTGCCGACTTCAGGTCAAACGCTGAACTGAAAAGGAGCAGAAAGGTGAACAAGGGTGAGACCACCAAAGCAAAATGCATGCATTCCTCCCCGAAAGTCTCCCTTAATTTACCCTGCAGCGAAGTCCTGCTCACTGCGTAGGTGGCCAGAGCCCGGTAAACAAAACAAATAATTGCATAACAGTGAGCCACTGGTTTCAGTTCTTATTATACTGTGCTGCCACAGGCAGCCCGAGCAACATGACTGAACCTGTTTTCACATTTCAGCAACATGGTGAACCTCAAGTGTGGAGTTGTTTTTTTCAGCTTTTACTGGGAAAGAATTCACACAGCGGCGAGTTGTTGATTAACATTTACTCACACAAAAGGCCCCGCTCTTCCTTTACATTAAACAGGAGAGCGTATTACTATGATTTTTCTCTTCTGCTACTGAGCAGTGTGTGACAGCAGCTCTCAGAACTTGGGTTTGTCTTCAATAAAGAAAATCTTTATCTTTTTTAAAAATCTCAGATTATACATCTAATTCTGCAGTAATACTCTTGCTCTTTTACATAGATTTTTTTAACAAACTGGGGCATTTAGTTTTGCAATCTCTCTTAATTACAAATAAACATTATAAAACAAAAAAGGAAAACAAAAACCATCCATTGTAATATTCACCTTATGTACATTATGATCTAAAAGCTGACTAAAATCATATTTTTGTCATAATAGTTTAACAACTTCAATACTTTAGTTGAGATGTTGATAGTTGAGAACATATGAAATCTGTTTTCTAGTGCTAAAACTGGGTCACTAAATTTTTGTCAGCATCGACAGAACTGGCACCTCATGAAAACTGCTTATAGTACAAGTTTAATGGGTGGCATTTTCAATTTCAACCTAATTTCAAAATCACAAAATTCCTTGTATGCGGTTGAATCCGAACCATGCCAGTGTTCACACATTTGCCTTGGGCCCCATTCATATTTTTCTCATTTAATTATGACGGCCCAATAGAATACAACACATCTCTGAGCACCACAAAAGAATGGGAGGGAGCAGCAAAAAGAAAAGAACAAAGACAGTCAAAGGAAAAGCTGGCAGTGAAAGGCTCTCATATCTCATGCTGAATGAGGGCGATGAGCAGTCACACTAAACTATCACTATGAAACCCAAAACAGACGTGTCAGAAGTGGGATTTTAATGACTTATTCTATGATCTTGTTCAAGTAGGACACACCGATTTATCAGCTCAGCTTTGGTTTATTTTGGTATTTCTCAATGTGTTATGTACATGTAGTTTAACAAGAGTGTGACCTACAGTTTAGCAGACATGTCCCTAACACTCAGACAGAAGCAGATGGGCCAAACCCCTCATAGAAGCTGCACAGTGCTTCATTTCCCACATGCCGGAGAAACACAACCCCCTTACATTAACCCACAATTGGGTCAGTCGCTTAATCTGCATTAAAAAAACAAACAAAAACAACATTGTTAAATCTAAAATAGATTTATAAAATTGATGCTTTGATGCCTTTGTTTCCCCCCTAAAGAAAATGATTTTTCATCAGAATACTGAACTATACAGGGACTGAATCCAAAAGAGTGAGTTGAAAAAAAAACTCTGTCAGGAAACTAACTCCCAAAAAGAGGTTGAAGTGAGGCTGAACTATTAAGGAGCTTCCAGCTTTAGGTTTAGTGCCAGAGCCTCCCAACTTTACTGTGTACAGAAAGGGATGACAAGATGGGGCTCATTTCCTCTGTGCACCTTTCATGAGCGACAGAACTGAATGAGCAACCTTTGAACTTATGTAAGACTGTAACAGACATGTTTTAGTATTTAGGTCTACAAACACCCGTGCTGGTGACCACGTTGTAACACACAGTGTCCTGCATCTATAACAAGAACAAGAAGATAAGCAGTGTCCTTCTTCCAGTAAATCAGAGATAATCTTCCACGCCCTGTGTCCGAGGCCTGCAGAGCAACTTTTATGCGTGTCATTAGAGAGGGAAAACCCACACTCAGCACACACAGCGCACCGGTGCCAATTGGCAAACCAAAGAAAGGACCCGTACATACTGCGTTTCAATTTGCTGGTAATCTGCAGGGCAAACAGGACAAGTCAAAGCATACACTATTCAATTAGTCTGTAATGGAACTGCAATAACAAATGGCCATAAACTGTGGGCTGTAAAAGGAGCAACGTTGTGAGGCAGGCTTCACGGGGAGGCCAGTCTGATGACTAACAGGGAGACATAGTGAGCAAACACACAAGCGGCGCTGTTAATGACTCGTTGAGATGTCTGTTGTAAGATCTTTTTCATCTGATAAATATCTCCTTTGTTGAAAAGACTTAAGCTTGCATAGCTTGTTAGGCTTTCCTAAGTATGCCTAACTATTTACCTGCAAGTGTGTGTGTCTGCATTCAATTCTTTATCATATCAGAACACAGAGGTTTTGATCAACTATGATGTCAGGTTGAATGAGCAGCAAACTATCATGCAGATAACTGAGAAAATGCAGATGATACATAATAATAAAACAAATGTACTAAACATCTGCATACTGCTGATCAATATTTCAACACAACAATATTGACAGCTGTAGTCCTTTTGCTTTCTGTTTTTAAATGTCCTGCCTTTCCCCCTGCAGCAGCAACAAGATGTTTGTTGGTCAGACATCTCAGCAAAGACAAGCACACAGCCCCACTTATCAGTAATAGGCTTTTGATCGGTTTCATGATTCTATGATAGGAAATGACACTGAGATAACTGGATCCGTCCATTAAACTGATCTCAGCAGCAAAACAACTGGTAAGAGACAGAGACAGTCGTATTAAGCATATTCGTGCGGTTACGTGGAGGGCCTTCGATTCCCGGTCATCATCTAGCTTTCCTCCTGTCACATCTCCCAGATAATATCACGAAAGAATGGACATTTGGCTGTTTTCACATTGAGTGGATCAGTCAGTGACGTTAAGGGATTTGCTCTCGTGTAAAAGGTTAGCCGGTGTGATGACCATGTCAGCTTTGATGACTGATTGCCAAGTTAAACAGCCCAATGGGCAGTGATTTCCAAACAATCTGCTGGGTAACTAAGCTGCCGTGTGCACCGTCCAGGGGACTATGACACACCCTTTTTATGTTCTGCTGACAAAGGGAAATTAATATTTAGGAACTTATTTTATCCTGAATGTTAAAAAGCTTACGGACATAACTCGTATCTGCTGAAATGTTTGTCCATTTGTGCGCACCAAATATTTTTTTTATTTTAAAGTAAAACGGTCCCACTTCTCTGACATCACCCGTGCATTCAGTCATTCAGTTTAAGAGCTTAAAGTGCAGGTTTTCACCTTAAGCTGAAAGGTTGACGCATGTTTGAGGTTACAACCAAGTGCGTCAAACAAAGCGCACAATATGTGTCAAAAGTCACCCCGCATCAGCAAAAATTCCTACGGCTGCAAAATCTATCAAGGAATGGGACATAAAGGCCTCTACACCTTCAGAGGATGGGTTTTGACTTTTACAGTGACCACCATGTCTCCAAAGAAACCCAGTCAGGACTACCAAAACCATTGCATGCCAAATTTTGCAATTTTGGATTCTTGAACATAAGAAGTTTTGGGCCGCTGATGCATAAAAGATCAGAACATAAAACACGTGAACCTTGAATGAAAAGGGAATATTTCCACACTGTTCACTAACTAAGAGCACTTCTCTAAGACTGTCAGCTGGGGTCACGATCAGAAACGGTCTTAAAACGCTTTCAATATCTCAGTGAGTGTCAGACGGGACAGGAAAAGAAAATGAAGAACTGCTGACAGATATTATTACTCTTCTTAACAGATCTAATGCAAACACATTTACTCCAAACATCCACCTGACCTTGGTCTTAAATTGGTGTGATTTCGGTTTCTATAGAAACACGAGCGATGATTCTGCACAGTCAACATAAGCCCTGATCAAAGCGTGGCATTTATCAGAGTAGAGAAAAATGTCAGCGATAAAAGGGAACATTAATGCTCTGTTAACTTATTTCTTTTGAGAGTCCAAGGAGAGGACGTGAGAAACATCAAGGACGCTTGAGGAGGTACGATGAATCCATTTGAGATTTGAAGATGCAATCAAGTTTTAGATATAAGCCGTCCCTTTTTATGCAAACAATAGAGGTTCATGCTCTGTGGAACAATGGTACGTTTTTACAATAAATCATGATCATCGTATAAAGAACTTCCATGTAATCACTGGATATTCTCATTCATACATTGGCTTTTTGTATGTACTGTATTAAGGACAGAATGTGTCCTGTACCACTTGCAAACAAATAAGCTGTTAACAGCTGAAGCCGTTGGAGTTGGCTTAGAATGACCAGGGAAGTTCTAATTACAGTGTGGTGCCATCCAGGACTCTGAAGAGTGGAGGGCGTCACAGCTCAGGCCACTACCTAACCTCGGGACTATGAGTCATGTGTGTGTAACAAAACGAGAGAAAGGATGACATCATTCTAGAGTCATCGCTGTCGTCGGATGGGCTCCTGTAGAAAGCTCTCACTGTACACGAGGGGGCCTACTTTCCGAAAACCACGTGACCTTCTGGCACTCTGCAGGCTGCACCCAATTGGAAAAATGCATAATGTATGCAATGTGCGGATGTGTCAAGTAGCAGGTTGTACGTGCAGGAATACAATGATTTTTATCTAGATGATGACTGATTCAATCTTTAGACATATACCCCCCCCCCCCCCCCTAAGAGGAAGCAAGTCAATGTTGTGAGAGCAAAATCGTCTGCAAATTAATAATTTCTTTACTTTAAAAAAAAAAAAGAAGATCCAGTTTAACTCCAACCACTTTGTTTACTGGAAACAGGTGTGGCGTGCATAAGGGTCAAGAACAAGTAAGGGAGGCGAGTAACGGCGTACGAAAACAAAAATAATCCCCAATCGCTAAAAGCAGGAGCGAGACACTCTGGATGGCGCACGTCGGACTAGAACCGCACCGTAAACACGGGAGAGAAGGAGTGTTTTTTTATCACGCCTTCCACAAAAAACCCAGTGCATGCTGATAAGCGGAGGGGAGGCAGCTCTGAGGGGCCTCTGTGCATAAAGGGAAGCCGTTCGGCTGTTGTGCAATTGCGCTGTGTGTGCCCTGGATAGTGCTCTGCAAAACTACTTACCACACGGAGCCGTAAGCACCGGAGCCGACGGGGGATAAGTTCTGGTACCGCGTCGGGACCTCCCACACGGTTTTGTTGAGCTCCTCTCGGTAGAAAGTGGGTCTCTCCTTCTGCGACATTCCTGCGGATTCGCCACCAGTCCCGCAGAGATAGAACAAGCCAGCGGAAACTTCTGCCCCCTCGGTCCCTCTCTCCTCCCCGTGCGGCACGACCTACCGTGCCTACCCGTAACAAAAAGCTCTCAGCCCAGATAGCCCCGGAGTCGAGCCAAACTTACGCCGCCCGCTCGTGCAAAATGCGGTGCAGTTGCGCAAATAAAAGAGAGAGAAAAAACCCTCCTCTCGGAACGCTCTCGGAGACAACTTCGCCTTGAAAAACGCTCTCGGGTCAGGAAGCCCCAGCCTGGCTCTCGCTGGATCTTTCGTCCTGTTCTGATCTTGCTTTGCTACGCGCGCGGAAACGTGAACGCGTACGTTCTGTTCGTCACTGCACGTTCCCGGTGAGAATGGCAGTCTCGCGAGAAATGGCTGGCGAAAGGAAAGCTGGGGGATGTCCTGTCTCCGCAGGGGAAAGGCGGGAATCTCCCGCTGCTAGCAGCGTAACACCTCTAGATGTTTGTTTACAGCGTAAAGGGGTGCTTACAGCAACTGACAACAGCTGACCCACAGATAAACATATTATACCGAGACACCACAGCCCTTAAATATCGACTTTGCATTAAATGCCATGGGGACAATTCTGCTTGTTTTTCATGAATACCAGCAGATTACAAAGATACTGGTGGCTTACTGCAGAAACGCACGTTTACATGTTTTCTTGTGCCTGCATACCTGATAAAGCATTTGCTTTCTATTGTTCTCTGGAACTTAAACTTGGCTAAATGGAAATTACCTGTGCCAAGAAGGCAGGGAAATTGTTTCATTTGAGTAAATTATCCAAAGTGGTTTGTTTAACGTAAGTAAAAGACCGGTATATTATATATATTATATTACAGTGAATAAACTTTTAAGTGATCAAAAACAAAGCTTGTGCTTCTCTTGCTTAAAGAATACAAATGTCCAGTATGAAGATCTGACTTATACAAAATATATCAAACGGATTACAAGACATTTTTTGTAAATTCCCAGCAAACTATGGGGTAAACAAGCAACATTTCCACAAATAACTCCTGTCAAGTAAAGACATAAGTCAATAGATGATTTTCCAGCGAAACCAAGAATATTTGTGGGAAGTGTCTCAATGACATAACCCCAAATGTCATTGAGACACTTCCCACAAATATTCTTGGATGGCATCTTGTCTGTGCTTCTGAAAGCATGTGGGTGACTGAACCAATATATTTAAGAAAAAGCAAATTGAAGAAGGTTTACTGGACTGATGTGGAACAACTATCATGAGGGATTCTCTGTTTTTTCTTTTACAACAGCAGACCTTATGTGTTTATGTATATTACCTTAGAGGACTTAAGGGGTAAAAGTGAAAGCAGACTGCTGGATTTCGCAGGAAATACTGACCTTGGTCAAGAATATTCAATCCAAAACGAGGAAACAATTCCAAATATGACAGTTTTAAAAGACCTTCAGTTCAGAAATGGTCAAAATGAGAGGTGGGCCATTTTAATTCAGCCTTTTTAAAACTACTAACACTATCTGACAAAGTATGTTAACACTGTCCAGATATGATCTTCATGCACACATATGACACTTTTTATTCGTACTGATTTAATTGCAGTGTGGATTTTATTGACCATGTTTACAGTTTGAACTTAATGAAATATTTAAAAAAATTGGCTGCAGAAGTCCACAAACAGAAATATTCTGTTCAACAGTTTACTTAAGATTGCATCATATCCTCTCCAAAGTATATTACTTTTAATAACCGTATATAAAATGGGGTGCCAGATATAAATTGAGAGAAATATTACTGTCATTGGAACAATCATGCCTGTTTGGCATGTGAAAATTCACTGTGATATGTAATTCCTTTTATACCATTACTCCATTACCATGATCAGCAATTTTGAAAGGAAAAAAAAACACCTGAAGTGACCTTTATCCCAATTTGTGACAGTAAAAACTTGTTAGCTGGGTACAGGTTTAAATGGCATAATATATACAATGTATACCTGTACAAAATATCTTTTTCAAACGTAAAAAAATGTTGTTGTTTTTTAAAGATGTGAAATACAGCACTGTTCAGAAAAGACAAAGGATTATAAAGACAAAGCATGGTGTATACAAGGACATTTTTATATATTACCTTAGTTTCTTTCCCTCCACCACTTACAGGAAAATTAAACAGAAATAAACAGCATGGTGGGAAGAAACTGGAATCATCATTATAGTCTGATAACTTGTAAAATCTCTATATTTTTATTTATTTATCTATACACATCCGGTGCAACTGTAGGTTGTGTACAGGAAAAATGTTTGGTGCACCCTCTGCCCTTCTATCTTTATGCATCCTTCTATATAAATAATAACGGGGCGGAGATGTAGTCAGCAAACAGTGTTACGCAACAACAGAATAATAAATGGAAACCAGCACGCTCTCTGAACTGTAATAACTGTACTGTAGATTTACCCAGGCCCTTCACATTGGTTGTGCACTTGTTATTCAGGAAGGATTTATGTACGCAATTACCAGAAGGGGGCAGCACTAGCTTGACTTTCGCAATGGTCCACAGGACAAGGGCTTTTTTCAGATGTCATATAATCCAAGTGGTGTCCCACAATGAAGATTAACACATGACCACTGAGTTGAGTCCATCCCCAGCCTGCAGCCATCAAGTCTATCTATCATTTCAAGAAAACGATGTAGAATGCCATGACCATGCAGGAAATTGCCACGGCAATGTGAAGCCTTGTTCCAATTATGGCAGCTGAGAAAGAGAGATTGAGTGAGGAAAACTGCAGGTTAGCATCCAACAAAAAAAGGTAATACAACACAGCCACACAAATATATCATATATAGGGATAGTGAGTACTGGTTATTTCTCAACAGATCCTCAACCATGATTTGGACCTAAAAAAATCTATTCGTATGTGACATTCCATTTAGCATAATTTATTTTGGGCTCATTTGTCAAATTGCTGCTTATTTGGAGTGCACTGCTCATCCTCTTTCTTTATCTGCAGATCTGCTTTTAAACCCAGTTTGTTTTGTTAAGAACAACTTCAAGAGGACTGAAATACAAAAACTGAAAATCTTAATCGTCCCTCCAATAGGCTTGTGTATGTTTGGCCACTGGTTCCAGGAAATCTCGGACTGAGACTATTTTGCACGGCTCTGCAACAGATCACTTTAAATCATCTAACAAATATAAAATACAACTGAAACAGAATGATATTTTCTCCCACAGAAGCGATTATGGAAGTGGCAAGTAAGTGATGACAAAGAGTGTGAAATCACTCATTGGAAACCTCAGATCAATACACAATCAAAAAGAAGAAGATAACTAAGAGCAATGCAACTCATAATTATGTATTTGTTCTCCATGACCATATCTTATTTTGCCAGACCATTAAATGGTTTAGCACAACAGATTTTTTGTTTACCTTTGTAGAAGACACCCCACACTCCTTTCTTCTCAGACAGCAACCAGCTGTTGATGCGAGGTACCTTTTTGAGGTATGCACACGTGCAGATGAACAGCAGCCCAAACACCAGGATGCCATCAAAAGAATACACTTTTAACAGGACATGAAAGACAGGAACATATTGCTTTAACATTGGTAGTAATATTTAACATTCATTTGCAGTTCACAGTTGGATTTGAACAAGAAGCAACAGAGTAGGCACACGATTAAGTCATATGAATTGTATAAACGTCAATCATTAATGTCTATCTGTATTATTCTTTTTTGTTTGCTCGTTACAATCAAGTGGAACACTACGTCAGCACCGACCGAGGCAACCTCAGACTATCTAAAGTAATAAGTTCTGATACCGGCGACCAGTTTTTCTTCTTCTGTTCGAATAGTTTTGGCCTTTCATTATAATATAATATACTTAGTATTAGCTTCAACTGTCAAGTGTTAGCAAACAGCTCTGTGACCCAAAGACAAGAAACAAGTGGTAACACGGTCCCCGTGGCATTGTATCTCTCACTGTTAACAATCAAATAACAGAATGTTTCCAGAGAGTGAGATTATCCTATTTTGGTTTTAACAAAAAAGCAACACAAAAAGGGGCCACGTCTGCAGCTAAGCTAGCCTCCCTCGCTCTGTTTATAAGAAGTAGTCCAAGTTAAATGTTCTATTGTACTGCCGCAAGCTTGTAAGATAAAGCAGAACACCTACCATTGGTCATATCTGCAGTTTGCTTTTTGGCGACGTTATGTGACTGTTACTTCTTCTATATCAGCAATTCATTATATACTTTAAAGTAAAAAATTATACTGTAATGACGCTTGCACCGCAGCACACAGTTGACATTTCCGGTTCCCTGGCTGACTGATCTTCTTCTACGCTTGTTGTCAGTGTTGCCATCCAGCCCTCATTACTGCCACCTATCGGAATGGAGCACAACACCAACGTGGCCCAGTCTGACCTGTACCCAAAAACTGGAAGGATCTACCAAAAAAGAATTGTACGTGCATGATTATTTCATTGTATATGCTCCTTGTGCGAACAATCTGCAATTTTCACTCAATAAATAAAGCTAAAATCTTGTGTTGTAAAAATTGAGGTAACTTCTTCACTCCATATCATTTTACAATGCTTGTTTGATATCAAATTTCACAATCTCAACAGTTACACTGACATTTTTGTTTCAGAACCTGGTAAATGTTACAGTTGTCAGCTGCAGAAAGTCTAATCTTTTACCTGGACTTTCACTACAGAGCCATGTTTAGAGCATAATGCGTTATAACAATAGTAAAACATAATTCAGGTATCAGATTGACCTTTGAATAGACTTCCACAACACAATGTCCTTTTGAATAAGATTGTATTTCTTTTGTTTCTAGATTGGCTCTTATTCAAACAAACTATCAAAGTACTTAGTTTCTGTTTAACATGATGTGCTTGAAGTATAACTAATTTAATACTAGCTTTAAAAGATTACACCACTGTTATAATGTGGTATATACCCAAGGTAAATATTATTTGGGGAATGTATCAGCAACACATGAGCTACCCTTTATATAATGGAGGAAAAAAGTTTTAAGAGATTCCAATTTGACAGGTTATGAACAATTTGCCAAAGCCAGATGGAAGAAGCCCCTGTAAGCAGACACTGCAGAGAGGTAAAAACAGCCAGACAGGTGAAAAAGGTTGGCCTCTGCACCTGGGCACAGCACTGGCAGGAGCAGAGGGAAGGATGAGGATTAAAGTGAGCTTCCACCCACATCTCAGCAGGCTGACACCATTATACAGCTGAGCCAACCCCCACCCAGCTCCCAGAGTAGCTTCATCTCTTAATTTATTCAGTCTGTCCAAATTACTGTGGGGAATATATTCTAAGTAGTTTTTATTTTTAAATCTGTCCTTCTATCAATCTTGTTTTTTTGTCTTTGAAACTGAACATAGATAAAAACAAACACTAACACATCAGTGAGTTATTGGGGGGTACACTTATAAGGAATTTGACTTACATTGTAGTTGTATGGAGACTGTGCACAGACATAGCCAGGCTGGTTTAGAGAAATATATTTGCCCCAAACATTAAAGATAGCTACAATGTTCCAGAAACGTGTCCTTATGATAATATCAGTGTTATTATAGGTTCACATGTTTGTTAATATTTCATTGCCCATAACTCATAGTGATCACTCCATTATGGTCATGACTTGACACCCTTTGCTGCATACTGTCATGCAGCATTTGCACATGGCCCAAAGGTAGTCCCCACCTTTGTTTAGTAAATCAGGGTAGAAATGATCAATTTGACTTTCTAAAAAGCCCTGCAATCCCAATGTTTCAGAGTCAGGCAGGCTGATGTGCAAAGCAGAGTAGGTAAAGGCACATTAGGTCCGATAGCAGTCCTCCACAGAGCTATATGAGATAATCCTAATCTCCACACATGCTGCTGCTGCTCAGAGACAACAGAAGTTTCTCCCCTGAAGGGAACAACTGACGAACAAAGGGTGGTAAGATACATAATGAGATTTGATGAGCGGACGGTGTGGCACACCTGTTCTGATCAGCTCACTGTGGAGACAGCTCACTGTGCAGGGACACTCCTACAGCATTTGCTTCTGGAAGGAAAGACTTTCGCACTCAATCTGTGCAGTCTCTCTGTTTTCTCAACAATGCGTCTCTACCAGAGCATAAAGGTAAGACTTTATTATCATTTTTTATCTTATCATACTTCTTTCATATTATACTTACCTAAGTTCTCTGGTGGGAAAATGAAGATTTAACACAGTATAAATTGGGGAAATGACAAATTTGTCAGCATTATTTGCAGATTAATGCTTCAATCATGAACAAGGATGTTTTAAGCTATGATTAAAAATGTGGGTGTATGATGGCCTCAGTTCTGAGAATCTGCAGCAGTTGTAACTCACTGCAACTTGCTTTTCTCTTTTAAAGTACAACCTGATGCTTTGGTTTGGCAGTTCACCGCTTTATCAGATAGCGATGAACACAACTAAAGACATGTAATTATTTTTTAACAATGCAATATCGACTCTCTATTTTTGCATCCTAAATAAAGTGCGTTGTTTGATTTTTAAAAAAATTCCAAATGGCATTGACTAACTCCTGGTATTCATTCAGGTGTCACAAAAGATGGGAGTCAGGAACAGAAAAGGTAAGTCTGAATAAGAAAAGCAATCCACCTCAATGGCTTTATAAAGAAAAGTATTTTGAGTTGAATTTTTGTGATTTCTGAACATCTTTGGGCTAAATAAACACTGCGTCGGCTGAACACACTGATTTTCCGTTTTATGCTTCAGACAGACCTCACTGCTGGACGATCCCACCTCACCAGGTGACTGAAAATCAACAACAGGAGGAAGATGACATCATCAAACCACAAAAGCTGATAAATCCCATGCTGGCCTCTCTCCAACACAGAACTCTTCATCAGGAGCTTCTATTCTGTTACAGGAGGTAGGAAAACATGGAACTTACATTTGTTTGCCCCTGATATGGGCCCACCGGCAGCAGGTGCATTACGGGGTCACGTTAGCATCCACCAAGAAGTTTTAAACATTGAATCAGCAGAAAATATATACACTCCTCTGTTCATAACAGCCTGTGTTCATGTTTGTCATTACTTAGGCCCTTCTGGAACTTTTATAAACAGATCTTTGTATCTAAAACTGGCCCCTCTCCTTTCTTTGTTCCACTTTTTGGCTTGTGTTAAATTTGTATTCTACAGGGCTTTTGTTTGGTAAAATTGTGTCACAACCGCTCTCAAAACGAAGTGACAGTTCTGTGTGTGCTTTTCAAGTGTTCCCCTCCCTCAGTGGGTGAATCCTCTTAGGCCATCCCAGTCCAGCTGACTGAGGTTGTGACCGCGGATAAGCAATATGCTCGGGTGGTGTTTTACACCACCTCCAAGACATCCCTTCTGGGGTTGTCACACTTAAGATTTCTCCCTTTGTTGCTCAGCACAAGACAGAGATGCTAGTTAGAACAGAAAGCTTGAGGTTTGCAGTTTGATTGTAAATGCGTACCTTTGTGCGGACAACTTCTAGTTTTCAGCTTTAAACTTTAATGTAATGAGCCTCACCTGAGGGACAATGTTTCCCGTCTCTTTTGGTTATTTCTAACCTGGAGATGCATCCCTCTCCTGCCGTTTGTTTACTTCCTCAGAGGTGTGCTGCCGCGAAGGAAGCCAGAGCTCCAGCGTGTGATGGAACATAAAAGGAGAGAGCAGCTTCAGAAACAGGAGCTGGCTCTCCATCCTCCCTCTGACTTGGAGAGGAAGCTGCACATAAGACAGCAGAGAATACAGTTTGTAAGTATGAGAGTTTAAAAAGAAACTAAATGAATTGGGGATTGACGTGATATGTAAGGCGGAATCCCAAAACGGAATGTTTCTTGTCTTGCAGTATGAGCTGGAGGAGAGGAGGAGGGCCGAAAAACTGAAAAATATCCCTGAATTTCTTCGTGTGAGACAAACTCTGCGGCCAATATCAAATTTGTCCTAGGGACTTCCAAGGGGCAAATAAACACTGTAAATTTGACAATATTCTATGCTTGGTCATGCTTAATCTGACAGTATAAAGTGAAATAACTCTGTTTTGTAGTGTTATACTATTATCAAGCGAACAGGAATCTGTTTATGAGGATGAAACCATTTGGAAAAATGTAGCAGCAGCAGCAACAAAAATGAACCTTCCAATATTATTTAGGGCTCCAAAAAATGTTTTAATCAAAGCTGCTGCACAAATTTCACAAGCTTTAAGACACATAAAGACAACAGTTGGAGAGTTCTGCTCTGAGAGCCTGACATCAAAAAGACAAATGATCAAATAGGATAATTGTTGCCATTTAAAACAAGGTTCTCGCTGTGAAAGTATTCTTAAAAATGTGACAAAGTGCTGGGTGTGCTGCTTGCTAACATTCATGAGAAATTTGATCTCTCTATGAAGGAAATCTACTGACCTCAGCTCTATGGTGCGGCCGCTTGGACGGGTTGGTGCCCTCACAGAATATTAGCACAGGCCTCAGTATAGGGAGTAAGAAGGAGGGTTGAACACAATACATTCAGCCATTCTCTGTACGCTTAAAATCACAAGACTTTGTGTAACACTGTCCATAACCCAGAGCATTTGGTTTAGAGAACTAACTGAATCCGTCAGCTCTTTGTCCAACGTGTTTAGTTGTAAAGACTGTACCCACAAATAGAGCCACAACTGCACTAATGTCCAAGAACTCCACCAGTGTGTTGTGTTTGCAGCTCAATAAGTTAAAAATAAATAAAATACAAAATAAAAAAGGATGTTTTCACAAAAACGGGAGATAAAAACCTGACGTCACAGGTTGGAATCTCCCATCTGTCTCCCTGTTCTATTCACGACACCGAAATAACATTAAAACATATGCCATAGTGTTAAAAGACTTTAAGCTAGGAGGTACGGCGGATAAAGCACCGACACAGGAGGCAAGTAGGTCAACGTGGAATGGGAGGGGACGTTCAAGGAGCGAATGAGTCAAAAATGACGCCAGGCCAATTTGACTTCACAACAGCGAGAGCCCCGATTAACCCCCACCTGTTTCCTCCCGCTGTGCATGTTAAACGCACACCAGCGAAAACTTGTTAAACCTACAGCATTTGAACCTTTTTGAAAAAATTCAAAACTCTGTGGTGATAACTGAAAGTGATTTGTCAGCTTACCATGCACTTATAGAGGATGAGAAGCTTAGAATCTGACCCAATTTGACCCAGTTCTCAAAAAGGTTTTAAAAAGTCTAAATATAGATTTCATATTGCAGCACAGTTTTTGTTGACATCCTGGACCAGAAAAACAACTTCAAATGGCCGAACAGCTAAGATCTTTTGAGGGGAACAACTAAATAACTCAGTAATGTGCACAAAGCAAATGTCTGCCTCGTGAAACCGTCGGTAACTGACAGCAATTATGGAATCCCTTCTTTTCTCTGGCAGCACTGTGAGGGGGGCACACTCCAGTCGTAGACGTAGGACAGTCGCAGCTTGACCTCCTCCTTGCACAGTCGGCCGTCACGCTGCAGCGTCTGGTGTTTCTCCAACATGTCCTCCAGGCTCTGCTTGTGCGTCACCAAGTACTTATTGTTGCAGCCACGCGACTTGTACTCCGTGTCGAAGCGTGGATCGTGTGTCCGCCGCACATCCACCGGCGCCAGCCAGGCGCCCAGTGACACGTCCTCGCTCTGCCACGTTTTGAGGTAGCCCGCGTTGACGCGCACGTACTGCACCAGGTCGGCTGAGAGAACGTAGCCGCCGCCCAGCGCGTATGGCAGGTAGTAGTCGCAAAGCTCCCAAGAACTTTCGCGCCACTTGCCAGCTGTCTTGACTCGGCCCCTCCCTGAGAAGAAGCCCCAGTATAAACGGCTGGGCTCCTGCCCCTTCAGCTCCTCTTTAAGGAGGTCCAAACGGGCAAAGGTGTCATCGTCCGCTTTGAAAACAAACTTGAAGTCCACATTTTGGTCCAGCCAGGTGTACATGTGCAGCAGCTTGAGAGTTAGGTTCTCATAAGAGTCTTGCAAATCTGGGAGTAACAGCAAGTCTTTGTGCCTCCCTTGCTCTGTGTTAAGATTCTGGAGGTCCTCACTTGGAAGACCTTGGGTTCCAACCACAAACCTGGCCAGGACATCAGAGTCTCGCTTAGCCAGCCAGGTGCTGCGGATAATACTCCTGCGCTCTGTGTATTTGGGTCCCGTCGTGATGAGCACCACTATGAATGCTGACAAACCTTTGGTCACGGGGGGAGCGTTCTGCTGCTCAGGATGGGACTGCAAAGCGTTTCCACGGGGTGCAAAGCCAGGAGGGTCCGAGCGGCCTTGCTTCAGGGTTTCGGATGTGCATTTGGCCAAGAAGACAAGGACGACAGCAAAACTGCAAACAGTCCCGATGACCAGAGCCGTTTTGTGGCGGCACACCAGACGGAACAAATTCATGGTGCAGACTCTGGGGAAAACAACACAAAATCATAAGTTCATACTAACTCCAGTCAATACACTGATTTTATCATCACATCAACATTATGGCTGCAAGCATGGCGAAGCCTATTAAATGACAAATCAATACTGTTACTATATTTAATACGATAAAGACATATAACTGGTTATCCCTTTGCACTACATTACACGCACATCGTGTTGGTAGCAGGCCTTTTTAAGGCACTGTAAAAGAATCAGCCAAATAAGTATTGAAATTGCATCAAATGTGGATGCACTTTCTCACTTCAGTCAGCAAAGGAACACCAACCGGCCGCTTGTCTGTGACTTAGCAGCACCACCTACTTGTTAAACACATAAGCTGACGAACTACCCCACAACGATGCTGCAAGCAGTCAATAGTTAAAGAAGGTTACCTCGTTAAGACGAGCCAGTCCCGTCAGTGAAGCAGGCACAGCTAGCGTTAGCTACCGGGGGGAAACCATCTGGGTTAGCTCGCTCGACAGTATGTAAACACATACAGCTTCTCCATGTTGCTTTTTAACTGGAAACGGTGCGTTTATCGGAGTCGGTCTATACGGTTACTAAAAGCTGCTCTAAGGGATATCTCTTGTCATTGTGATAATTTTCTGACTTGAAGCAACAACAAAAAAAAAAACTCTATTAGTTCAGTGAGGCAGTGACGAAAGGGAAGCGGAAGTGGAGCCCCCAACAGGGGATAACCAGAATGACACAAAGAAACACTTGTCATTTGTTTATTGCATTTTCCTAACAAAACGAAAACAAAAAGCTGTGTAATTTGTATAAAATATTCAGGGGTATACAAAGGACATGCATTTCGGTGATGTTCATGGTTTATACGATCACAAAAGCGGGTAACGGTAAATTACTGCATTCAGTGCCATTGGAGACGAGCAACTAAATGGAGCATGCGCAATAAACATGTTAAAAAGGGACTTCTCAAAGCAATACCGGACGTTGGATCCTGTGCTTCAAAATCAAAGCCGAATAATGTGCATGAATGTTTTTTTTAGGGATTTTCATTAAGGTTTTTGAACTTATGCATTTGTGTATTTAATTCTATGGAGCAGACAAGTTTAGTTTATACCACTTGTACACAACCTTTACAGTATGAATGACAGATTTATTTCTCAACGTAGATTTCTCCATAATGTTAAACCCCAACGGTGATTTTGACATATCAGGAAAGTAACTGGACATAAGTGAAGCCTTTGCAAAACAATAACCCACTACTTAGCAGTGTTGGTAACCACATTAATTTCTGCGTAACTGATGACGATATTAAATAAAAATATTCAATAGGTTCCAATGGTGTTGAATCATTCCCAAACACCATGAATCTTTCCAAGTCTTGTTTTCACTTCTCAATCGAGATTCTATACTTTTTTCTGCTTATTATCTGACAAAGACCCAAAGATAGTGTAATTTTCACTTTGATAACTTCAGATTTCAGCCATAGCCATTGGGGAAAATTGTATTTTGAAAGGTGCTTCCGGATGCTGCATGTTTTACGGCTGTCATGACGCCAAAAGCTTGTTAATGTCCATCACTTATAGGGAGAATCATGGCCTCGTCGTAAGGAAGTACGCGTATGTTGTCCTGTAGCTCGGCACTTCCAGAGTCAGTGGGGCCCACCATGTAAACGCATTGCTCCATATGTTTGTCCATTGCAGGGTAGCTAACTGACGCGACCGGGGACGAGAACGTTAGCACACCATGAGGAGTGGGAGCACCGGCCGGGATCTTCGGACATGCCCAGTGTTGCTAGCCATCTTCCTACTAATATTTAATGTGCGTGTGGTGAAACCGACTTCTGACCATGACCCCTACAGAATATTGGGTGTCAGCAGGAGCGCCAGTCAGGCGGAAATCAAACGAGCATACAAGAGCCTTGCGAGAGAATGGTAAGTGACAGACGTCCACAAACAACACTTAGGCCACCACAGGACGGATGGGGAGCAACAGTCCCGCTGGTGTAACGGCTGAAATTGTGTTGTTATCACTCAACGTCTTACTTTGTCTAATTTCAAATGTATATTAGAGGCAGGCGTTGTCCTTCACTGTCTTCCTTGTAGTTATATACAATGTGATTCATGTTTTTTTTTCAGGCACCCAGATAAGAACAAGGACCCTAAAGCTGAAGACATGTTCATAAAGATTTCAAAGTCATATGAAGTGGGTGAATAGAAATATATCATGTACACACTTGATAGTTTGCTTCTTCCTGTCCTTGTTGGCCCATTTAACTTTTATTATCACCGATACTTTCTCTGTTTTGATTTGATAAAGATCTCTCTAACACAGTAAAAAAAAAATAACATCTCACTTTGGCTTTTCTCTTTCACAAACAGATTCTGTCCAACGAGGAGCGAAGGTCAAACTTCGACCACTATGGGCAGATGGATGACAACCAGCCGTTTGGCCAGTCACAGCATCAGGGTTTCCGCAGCTTCCACAACAATTTCTACTTTGACGAGTCTTTTTTCCATTTTCCCAGGTACTGCCATTGTTCAGGGTGGAACTGGCTCCTTCATTTGGTTCATTTGCAGATTCATTCGGTTTCATTTCTGGTCACCTTTATAATCCCTTTAACCATTTTGTTCTGTACACACTGCTATGTCCTCAATGCCGTTCCAGGTCCCGGGACTTTGCAGACAGCAAGTACATGCTTCGCCACGCTCAGTTTAACAGCGATGTCCTCCCAGACAGCTACAAGAAACCATACCTTATCAAAGTGACTTCGGAGTGGTGCTTTGCTTGCATCCATATTGAACCTGCGTGGAAAGAGACGGTGCAGGAGCTAGAACCTCTTGGTGAGACTGTTTTCAGGAAACATCAGCATCCCCAAAACGCTGTCATATAGCTCCCTGCTTTACCTGAAATCATAACAACATAACAGCAATGTTTGCACTGTTTGCGGGCCACAAAGTTACATGTAGGGGAAGTGTTATTTATTTTACAAAAGGTTGACATTTTCTATCAGAAATCAGGGTGTATAGGCTCTTTCTCATTTCCTTGAACTATGCAATAAGCCAAGAACTATTATTGCAAAAATATTCCAAGTACAACATACCAGAGACATTCAAGTTTGAAAGTGCATCTTGTCACTTGACTTGGATATGCTTTGAGACCATTGAAAAAATGCTACATTTTGCATTCTGCTCATATGAAAACTCATTTGAATGTAAAATCTGTGTGAGGCCAGTGGTGCTGTGGTTTCAACACCTTTTTGGTCATGCAAAAACTATGAAAGATCCCGTTCAGGTTTCTAACCTAGGGAGAATATCGCCTTTGTTTGCACAAATATACCAGTTGCAACTAATTACTGAGACATTGTGTTTTTATAAATGTCAGGCCCTGTAAATGCTTCTTGTTGTTGAAACACCAGGAGTGGGTATCGGGATTGTCGATTTGAGTTACGAGCGTCGCCTTGCCAACCAGTTGGGAGCTCACCGTGCTCCCTCCATCATTGGGCTGGTGAATGGAAGGGTGACATTCTACCACCAGGCTGTGGTACGAGAGCATCTGAGACAGTTTGTGGAAGATTTGTTGCCTCAAAAGCTGGTGGCAAGGGTAACTACACCTCTCACACACACACACACACAACAAACACATGCGTGACATCAGTTTGTAGAGTAAATATTTTTTAAATAATTTTTATTATTTTTGTCAAGATAGTTAAGTCTTTCATTTCAGAAGTGTTTACGCCAGATAAATGCAAAATCTTCCTTTTGACAAAAATTAGGCTTTTATGTCTAACTTAGGTTGTTTTCACAGATCAACGATAACAACTACATGGCTTTCCTTGATAGCTGGCATGCAGAAAATAAACCAAGTCTTCTCCTGTTTGATCAAATCCCAGTTGTGCCACTACTTTACAAGGTAAAACACATACAGACTGTAAGAATTCACCTACCTGAATTACATCTATTGGAAGCCACACAGTGCATCATGGGCATGTAAACATCTTTGTGAAAACATCTCTTAATGTATGGAAGCTATATCCGTTGGACTTTGTTTTGGCACTGGTGATATTTCAGTCAACATTTTCACACTGCAGTCCAGTTGTTTGATTTGCAAAACCACTTTGTAGAAGCAGTTACAGGAAGTGATGATCGTCTGTCAGGGTTCTTCCCTGCTTATTTTTTTAAGATTGTCTCTATGACCTATTTTTTGTTGTTTAACTTGTGTCTTGTTTGTTGTGCAGCATGTCTTAAAACTGTTACCAAAAGCATTGCCATAGCTCATGGGCATGCCATTGGCCATCTTTTTCTCAGAGACTGGTCCAAATTAACCAGTCTCAAATTAAGAGTATTGAGAAGATGCACGCAAGCTGCATGATCTAAACTAAATTATTTAGTTAATAGAGAAACAATAGAGATATCCTTTTTAGGTTGAATAGTATTACTAGCTCAGATCCATCAAAATACGTGAGCGGATGATGTGGGTCAGGCTCTTTGCCTTTACTTTACCTTAGCTCTATTTGAGCTACTATTTCCATAAAAGGATCTAATCATTTTTCTAACCTCAATTCTTCCTTCTCCCAGTTAACCGCGTTCGCCTACAGAGACTTTGTGCGCTTTGGCTATGTGGATCAGGGTGAAACGCACAACATTAAGCTCCTGCGGCAGTTCAACATTAACACCTACGCTCCCACCATGTTGCTGTTCAAAGAAGACACAGAGAAGCCTGTTGACATCATCCAGGTAATGTCTTTCCCTACCTGCTGCTCAGCTCTTCCATATGGAGGAATACAGCATCATGTTCTGCTTTGTCAGAAAACAGAGGCTAATTTAAACTATTTGAACTTTCTTGCCCACAGGCCAGAGGAATGAAGAAACCGATCATGGATGAGTTTGTCTCCAACAACAAGTTCCTGCAGGTGCCCCGGCTGGTCAGCCAGCAGCTTTTTGATGAGCTGTGTCCTGTCAAGCAGTTCCACCGACGGAGGAAGTAAGACTTTAAAAAAAAAAAAAATTTGCTTAGAGCTTGTCACATGGCAGCTGTAAGAGACTAAGCAGACTAGTCGAACAGGAACTAGCATGGGTTTCACAGCCCACTGTAGTGGTGCTAAAAATGGTGTCTGAGCTGAATTTTACTGTGATTTGCAGGTACTGTGTGCTACTTATCACAGGGGAGGATGAAGCTTTCCTACCAGGCAACAAGGCCTTCCTGGACTTTGCCACAGTGAACAAAAAAGAAGTGCTGCGGTTTGCATATGTTTACCAGCGTCAACAGCAGCCTCTTTGTCAGGCGCTGCTACACAACCAGGTGGCCGTCTCAGCTCAGGTCAGGGGCCTGCACACACAGTAGAACAAACTCTTCAGATTACTTTTTTTTTGTCTCTTTATACATTCAAACAAAGGCCACGCTTGGCTTTTTTTGGATTTCCTCTGCTTTGCCAGCTTCGGTGCTGTCTTGTGCGATGCTTGAGTTCACCATTGTGATACCCTGACAGGTGGTGATTCTGGAGAGGCGGAGCCAGACCGGCAGAGTCCAGTATCGTTCTGTGAGTAGCGGCTGGAATGGCAGTGAAGAAGACAAGTTCCACCTCTATGAACAGCTGGAGCTGCTTCAGAAAGACCCCACCTACCTGAGCTCAGACGCCACCTTGCCGGAACTTAACAACGAGATGGCCCCAGTAAGTCACAACACACAGCCACTCTGACTCCTGCCTTTACACCAGCAGGTCTGCTCTGCGTACACATGGTTTTATTTTTTTGCATAGTCTCCCTCTTTATACTTAATTTTTGATCTGCTGTGCAGATATTTTTTATCAGGTGGATGAATGCAGCCTATGACTACATAATTCAAATGTATGATGACCTTCTCTACTCAAACTGGTAAGACATTTATCATTAAGGAAGTCTGCAGCATAAAGTGCAAAAAGATGTCTTTGGATGTCAGACATAGGTTGAGTTATGCTTTTGCACAGAGATCAGCTAGTTCTCATAGATTCTATGATGTATAAGACCAGATTCTCTACCTGCACACTGTTTTATAGTTTCAAACTTTTTTTCCGTAAGGCGAGAGATGATGCCCATTCTGTCGTTGATCTTCTCAGCTCTCTTCATACTTTTTGGAACGGTTATCATTCAGGCTTTCAGGTGAGAGAAAGATGACTGTTATTCTTCCTAAGCACTTTAAACATGTAGGTAAACATCACCAAGGGAAACATAAAAAACGGCTCTAATGTGACATTCAAGAACTACAACAGAAAAATGTCACTTCAACAACTGAGTAACTTGGGTTCTTTTTCAGTTTGATTCGATCATTTTTGTTCACTGCTGATAATCAGAGCCTCTGGGGTTTCCAGTGATGAATTCTCTTATTTGCTGTCATTTCAGCGAACCAGGTGAAAGCAAACCCCGAAATCCCAAGCCAAAGGAGCAACCAACAGCACAAACTGAGGAAGATGCATCAAGCAGAGCAAGTACCTCCAGGTACTGTAGGAACACCCGTCGAACACAAGATGGACACAAAACACTGAAAGAAATTCTTCATTGGCCACCAGCCAAAGTATGATTGTAAACTGAAAAATGGCTCATGGCTTTTGCAGTTTACAATCAGAATTCACTCTGACCTCTCTAGTTGGATTGGTTATTAATCATACCATATCAACTCCATTTTCTGAACTGCTTATTCCTAAATGGGGTCGAGGGGGACTTGAGCCTATCCCAGTATTCAATGGGCAAGAGGCAGGGTACACCTTCGACGGCCACACAGGAAGACGAACAACCACACACACTCCCACTCAGTCCTAAAGGCAATTTGGAATGTCCAATCAACCTAACATGCAGGTTTTTGGACGGTGTGAGGAAGCCGTAGTACCCAGAGAGAACCCACGCAGACACAGGGAGAACATGCAGACTCCACACAGATGGTGGGGCTAACCAGCCCACCACCGTCCCGCCCCCATATCAAGTGGTGTCATGCTTATATTTTCATAATGAAACCAGAGCTGAAATTAAATTATGGAATAGGGTTGGTCAGGAAAATTAAACATTTATTGCTCATCTTTTATATGCGCAGCACTTTAGACTAGATTTTAAGTTTTGTTTTTTCAGTTTTGCTTTACAGTTGCTGCGCCAGCTTTATCATTAGTTTGTGATAAAAACTCGGGTGTTATTCAGGTTTTCAGATGAAACAGCTGACACTCAAGATGGTTTATTGACAAGTATCCAGTCACTCCCACTGACTCACAACAGATGCACACAATTTCCATCATATGTTTGTGCATTGACATCATTATTTTCATAACTAAAGATAAAGCCATTAGAAAAAAATCTAATTAAATGCATACTAGATTTCTTTTGTTGGTCCGAAAGAATGTTCCAAACCAGACATATTCCAAAATTATACTTCATGGAATTACACCAGACCCTGTTACTCTTTTAAGGCTTTTGAAACAGAAACTCTTAAAACTAAGAAAGTCATACGAGAATCCACCTGGAAGTCACTTACTTAGAAGGACATTGATTTTGCTGCTTATCTGTAAAGTCATAACATCAGGTCTTTGTTTATTGCTGTGTTTTTTTTAAACGTTGCAGTTTTTGTGTCAAAGACATCTGTCAAAAGGCTGACCTGTCACATGGTGAGCTGGAGCATAGGTCATTTGGTGGCACCTTGTAGATGCTGTATAGTGCTCTTTGCACACAGTTGCTTTCAAACTACGGCAACTGTCTACCTGCTCAGCACTGATCAGGAGTAGTCTAGCATTTCACCATAGGGGAACAATAAAGTATTTTTCTTTTTTTATATTCTTAAATTTACACAAGTTGTTAAACAATTTGTTCTAGACAACCCGGCTGAATAGAAGATAACCCGTATGGGTTTCCATTGCCAGGGTTAAATTGATTTTTTTTTAATGTACTTTTAATGTTTTTGCTGAACCCATATAACTATAGTGATCAATATAAATTTCATGCTTTTCCATCCTAGTTAACTTTGTGTACCTTTATCTTTTTTGTTTATCCAGCCGTCCTCCAAAGAAGGACTTTGTGGAAGTGACAGAGCTAACAGACATTACATACACCAGCAACTTGGTCAAGCTGAGACCTGGTCACATTAATGTTGTACTGGTGCTAACCAACACCTCCAAGAATGCTTTGCTCAGGAAATTTGCCAAGGAGGTTTTTTCTTTCTCTGGGTAAGCTGTTGCCTCTGCTAATTACAGACAGATTCATCATTGTTTGCTTATTTTTCATACGAATGTAAATTCGTCATGATCACATGCCGCTAAATGTTTTTCTGCTCACCATTTTTCCATGTTCTCACCCTAAACACTTTTGCTACCTAAATGCAGGACTCATAGCCTTCACTTCTCCTTCCTCAATGCTGATAAGCACCGTCACTGGATGCCTTCACTTCTTGGCTCAGCCTGCTCTGCTGGACAGGCTGAGAGCCACTCGGACGACGAGGAGTCTTCAGACTACTCTGGCCATGTGTTAGCCCTCAATGGCTACAAGAAATATTTTTGTCACTTTAGACCCGTCTTCACTGGAGACGATGCTAACGACTCTTCCTCTGAGACCTCATTTTCTTCTGATAGCAAGAGAAAGTCCCGGTCTAGGTCCAGGTCTAGCTCCCACTCCCGGTCCCGGTCTCATTCCCGGGAGGATGGGGCCATGCCCAAACGAGGCTCCAGCAGGGCCACTAGCATAGAGGTCCACCACAAGCTCGACAGGCTTGGACTCTGGATGGAGAGGCTCATGGAGGGAACCCTACCCAGGATACAGGTCCCCGTGTGGCCAGCACTTGACACCAGCAACACCTTTTCTTGAGGTCAAAGTAAGAAAAGTTACACCTTGTGGTTCTGCCTCCTGAGAAAGTCACGAAGCAACAAAATGGAAAAACACTGCAGTGCAATGGTGTGCTTATCAAATGCTTATATAAGTTTTGTTTTGTAAATATAGATCAACACCCAGCCGTTGTTGGCAGGTTTAAATGGGTTTGCAGAGGAGTGGAGGATCATATTACTTAATAACATCCACATGCAGACGATATGCATCATGGCACTGGAGCTAACCATTGTGTGTCCATCAGATTAACACATTCATTAGGTGAAATGATGCAGCGTGGGAAAACATGCATTTTTTGCAGTGTTTTCAGCTATTTAAAACACACTGTCTCTGAAAGGTTCTTCAACTATGGAAGGATATTTTCAGCTTAGATCTATAGAGTTTGATGCTCCATTCTGACTTTTTTTGGAAACAGGTTTCCTGTGGCCCACAAACTAACCGGTTGCACTGGAAAGTGAGATCAATCACTTTTGATGGTTCATTTGAGTTTCCATTTATTTTTTGGGCTTGTTAAAGGTGCTATGTCTTAATCCATATTTAAAGAATAAAATGGAGAACAACAGCAGGTCACGCTGAAATGAAAATATTAAATAGAATTTTGGATAACAATAATTATAAAAAGAAACAGCCTTTTCTTCCTTTTGCCTGTTGCAACCTAAATGAGGCTGATTTAAAATGTATTATTTCTTATTACTTTAATCAGGAGGAAACCAGAGGTCCTATCTCATGAAAATAATTTTCTTCCCTTAAACCTAAACCTCAGCAGATGGTAGTGCATGGTGTTGGTAGACCTGTGAATCTCAGTCATACAAATTCAGTATGTCTTCACTGGCAGCATCCATTCTGTTTGCTTCATTTTCTTCTATTAAATAAATTGCTGCTCAACCAAATACTTGCAGTACACTGGTAAGGAAAATTGTGCATTTTTCTTCTTTTCAAGTTCGTCCTTTTAACTTGAAATCAAACTATAAGAAATGGAGAGTACCTTGAAAACTCCTTTGTAAAATCCTTTATTTATTAGAATGTGCGCACACAATTTTATTTCATGCCTGTTTAAACTAATAAATATTTTTTATCTACCACATCGATGCATTTATTTTATTCAAGTTGGGGAAGTAAGGTGCTTATCAAGGCAGAATAGTATTTTTATTAATCTAGAGAGTGCATTTAAAAAGTGTGTAGGAAGGCCAACAATACCAGAGCAACTCTTTACCAATAAGATAACTGCACCTTAATATTAGTTCTTACTCGGCATACACTTCAAGGCTAGTGCATGTCACGACAAATCAAAGAAGCAAAACCTGTGTGGGTGTGTAAGCATGTGTGTGTGCAGTTAGATTTTGGTGGTGTTACAGGACCAGAGATTGAATTTATTGGACCTGCTATACATATGCCCATTCTCCCATTAGGATTTATATGAGGGCTAATTTTTGTAAAATTTTCAGATGTGATAGTCAAGTTTAGGGAATGTGTTTTCTCTTGAATGTTCCCATAAAGCTGTTAGAAGGCAGGCTCAGGGAAGATCAGTCACTTTGGTCCTGGTCAGCTCTTGAGGACCAAAGGAGAGAGGCAGCAGCTCGTCCACAGTCATCTTCTTGTATGAGCCATCAGCCTTTGACATGTAAACATCCCAACTGGAACCAAACTGTAAATCAAACAGTGAGTATAAAATGTTTTAGTTTTCCAGTAGTACTTACTCAGCCCTCCTTCACAAATGAGATCAACAGAGAGATGGGCCGACTGGCCCGTCAAGTCATTTAGCGAGAACAACCCAAAAATACATCATAGAAACAATAAACCAACTAAACCTCAGTGTTGGTCCGTGTAAGAGGCATTGACAACGTTAAGGATCACAGAAATAACTATTTCAAATGTTTGATGTTGCCACTGTGTTAAAATGGGCGGGGTTCCTCCCCTGGCCAATCAGCGGCTGGCAACCTGCCGTCGGTTCTCCTCAGGCCATTAACAACCTTAGCTGGGTAGGCGGCAAAATTTAAACTGGCAGGAGGTGCCAGCCCCGAATTTCAATTGGAAAGTTTAGAGCTTAACCACACTAAATAGGTCAGTGGAAAACCCCTAGGAGAGTCACTCTCTCAAGAGGTGTTACTCTTCACTCTCAGCAGTGTACAATTGTGGAGTAAGAAACTCTCTCTCAGTGAGTAAATAACTATTTTGATGTGTTATATCCCTCTAAATGTTTAGCTGTGAAATATCACTGTCTGAGGACCAAATGTTCCTTTATAAAAAATGGCCCTACATCAAGGAAGAAAAGATGATACCTCTCTCATGAACTGTCTGCAGCCTCCACATGGGGTGATGATCCGGTCACTCATGTCGCTGCAAGAAATGTAGATGAAAACAAAGATCTTTGTAGGAAGAAACACACTCAGGTTGTAAACATTTAACACAAATCCCTTCCAACAGATTTACCCTTCATATCATAATTTCCCTCCTGGTCAAACAACATAAATGGACATGTGAGTAAGAAGTGATGTGAGATTATTTTACTTTGGTTTGGACATGCACAAAAAGCCATTTCCAGTTTGCAGTTTGGTTAATTACCTGGAAATCGCAATTGCCTTGAAAGTTTTCTTGCCTTCTGACACCGCCTTTGCCATAGCATTCCTTTCGGCACACACTCCCAGGTTGTAACATGCATTCTCCACATTACAACCTGCCCGAAAAACAAAAGAAGACATAGAATAATTTAATTTATGTGTTCTCTGCACTTGATAGGGAACAGCCTGTTGACCACTTCAGGTCTAAATAAAGGTTCTGAGTGGTTCTTTGAACCCACTGCTCTTTACATATGCATTTGCTCAATTTGTTCAATAACACTGAGGAGAAAGTCGTGTCCCTGACAGCCCTATTGATATATCCAGACGGGTTGGAATTGGCATTCTGATGTGAAGCAGAATTTGTCAACACATGAAAAAATTCAAATTCGCTCATTTTGATGAAAGTGATTCAGTCAATTTGAATGATGACGACTTGTCCTAGCGTGGGCATGCACAATAAAAATGTACACCTTTTCCTGTGAGCTTTCTGCACTAAGCGCAGACATTTGAACCGTGGGCTAATCATTAACAGTGTGTAGCAGGATGAACTTCAGATCTTGCTGATGTACAACATGAATGTTCAGGACTGGGAAAGTGTTCAAATGATTAAATCTGCAACTCTCTAAAAGCTGAATTTTCTCATACACAGGCTGCACGACATTTGAAGTCTCAATTATAAAACATACAAAATTGACTTTTTATTTGTATCTAAGCTAAAGGATTACAACAGGTGTGTGTTGATTGTCAGCAATAGAGAGAACTAAGTTATAAGCAGTAACTTTATGTTCACACAAAAGTTATACTCGTGCCAAAAAGCTTTGTTCAGTTGTCAGGATACAGTTTCAAAAAGCAGCTCACCTGTAAATATAGAGTTATCGCTGGTCAGGAGAGCAGCTCCCACTCTGAATTTACTGTAAGGACAGTAGGCATGCTCCTTTGCTTCCTGGGACTGCTTTATCAACTTTTCAACACTTTCTTGGGACAGTTGTGTGGAGCTCTGGTTCTCCCTATGTGCCCCACCCCGACCGGACTTGACTCCATCCATACTTGCTCTTGAGTTTTGTAATGTTGTTATGAGTTCTGAGTTTGTTTGTTGCGACGCAGCTTTAAATGTGACAAAGGGAAATGGGAGTGGGTAGAGACACAGCCAATCAATGCCAGTGGGAGGTGGTTTTGTACTTGAAACTGTCACAAATTTTTTTGAGCGGATGTACCATTGAATAAGAGACTGTCAAAGGTTCCATGCATTTAAACCAGACTTATCTGACTGAAAGTTAATGAACAAAGGGCATTTCTTTTGTTTTAGTGTGTAGGCTAACTTACCAAGACAACCAGTCATTCTGAGAAAATATGTATCTTTATTTCTAAGTACAACTTTTTTCATCTCAATGTCATTACAGAAAGTTGGGCTTCAAAGGATAAATGAACTCCAGTTGCAGAATCCATTACATGTTTTTTTATGGCACATGCGATCATGAAAAACATTATAGAAAAACCACAAAATACAAAGTGCCATTAGAATAACTCATCAGATGATAATACAGCTGTATCAGCTGTCTGTCTTTGGGTTGTTGTGGAAGAGATATAGGAAGGGTTTTTTTCTGAGGAGATGAAAAAGTTTATTAGAAACTTGAAAGAGACAACAAAACACTACAGAGCACTGAGCTGCTTTGTCTCACAAAGCTCAGCTAGTATTTAGAAAATTCCAGCGTTTTCTGGTCACAGTCATAGAAATTTTCCAGGGAGACATCTGCCTGTCAGTGAAAAGCTCTGTGACTAGTCTGCTCTTGATTTGGGTGTGGTTAAGTCTTCCTGTAGTCTGTTAGTCACTGAAACCGCCTTCACCAGAAGAACACGGAAGGAAAACAACTTACAAAACATAATCGGCTCCAGACGTGGTCATAACTTTAAGTCTTTCGTAACAGAGTCCTTTGTTTCAAATTTATCGCAGCAGTATTTCTTCTGTGAGCTTCCTCCTCATTAACTGTTCTGGATGACCCAGTCGATCCATGAGATGTAGTTTCGGACTTTGGTGTAGACCCCGGGGTAGAAAGCGTAGGCACAGCCGATGCCCCAGGACACAATGCCTTCAAATTTGCCATTACAAACAAGTGGTCCTCCCGAGTCACCCTGAGGGCACGAAACATAAAAGAATTGTAGGAATACTGTTACAAATGACAAGAAGCAGTCCTTCAAAGGAATGATATTGCTCCTCATTTTTAGCATGCTTGACACCAGGTTGCTCTGCTTACTCCTGCCTCCATTATGGGCCGTCTTACTATGTGGCTCACCTGACAGGAATCTCTCCCTCCATTAACAGAGCCGGCACAGATCATGTTGTCTGTGACCCTGAAGTAGTAGAAGTTCCAGCAGTCGGAGAAGTAATCCACATTTACTGACATCAGTTCAGAGGACAGGCTTTGGCCATAAACCCAGGTCACCCCCCAGCCGCTGACCGTACACTGGGCAAGGTTTTGCAAAGGGGGGGAGTCCTTTTCTGGCAAGGAGACTGGCTCCACCATAGTATTGATGTTAGCTGGACGGTCCAGCTGCTCCACAGAGAAGACAGGCTTCTGTCAGTCATCTTAAAAGGCTAGAATCTAAATCTATAATGCACCTTTTTCATACCTACACTACAAAACAAAGCAACATTTATTTAGCATCTCAGTAGCATTTTGCACAGTAAATTAGCACAGACACAGGGTTCTCACGGCTGACTCTTACCTTAAGTAGCATTATGTCATTGTCGAGCATCCAGTAGCTATACTTATAGTGTCTGATAATCAAGGAGACGTTGAATATCTGCTCAAATCCGTCAACTTCAACAAGACTGTGCTGACCCAGGACCACTTTTATCATATGATTCCTGCAAAAACACAATGGGAGGTGAAAACCATTATGTGTGTGGAGTTTTTTTTATTGACTACTGATCAAACAATTGATCTTTTTTTCCAGAGTCACATAGAGGGAGGACGTTCAGGTGAGACCAAAAGCACATCTGAATAAATGCTCAGTGGTGCTTTAGAGCTTTAGAGCTGCAGTAACTTACGGCCTCCAGCAGTGGGCAGCAGACACCACCCACTGTGGGTGGATCAGGGTGCCTCCACAGAAGTGGGAGTCTCTGTACAACAGGGATGCCTGGTACTTGATGGTGTTAGGCTTCACCACAGCACCCCCAATGATTCTGTTCCCAAACACACCTAAATGTGAGCAAAGAATGGGGACGTTTTCTTAAAAAAATATCCACAGAGAAAAAAAGTATGCAAATCGTATAAGAAGCTCTAACTTTGCATTCTGATTGTATCCACGTTTTCATATAAAATACAGTATTTAATTATATTATTTATAGTTTTTGCCATGTACCTCACCTGATATGTTAACACAAAGCAGGATGAGCAGAAAAAGGTGACCAGATAGAACCAGCTTCATCATAGCAGCTATAAAGAAAGGAAGAAATATACAGATTGTCAAAGTTACAACTGTTGCAAAATAAGGGTCAATACATATAAATGGGGAAAAAAAGACTGTGCTATTATTTGAGAATGTATTTCAAATGCAAGATTATTAACTTTTAATGAATATACAATATTTTTTCAGAAATAATCAGCACTAATGAAAGACCCAAATGGAAATAAAATATCCTAAAATACAGGATGTTTTAAGTAGAAAATGAATGCTCATAATTTCATACAATAAGAGAATTTAAAAAATAGAATCTATTGAATTTTTGTTTTACAGCTTTTTGTGTTACTGGTTGAACAGACAGGTCTTAAACTTACATATGATTGTAAATTGTAAATTAAATAGCTTGCAAAAGTTGTAACATGTGCTTATAGCATCAGTGGTTTGCATTCCATAATTGCATTCCATTGCTTATAATTAAATAATTACACCCACTCTGTATGTACTAAATCGGCTCACCTTGTCAGTGGTCAAGTCCAAATCGAACCTATTCCAGTTTCCGCTGACACAATCTTAAGTGACGGAAAGAGTTTGAGAATGCTTAAGCCACTTTTATACTGTATGCACGCCTGTCCTTCTCATTATTTGTCACCATTATTAAAGTGTCTGTAACATGCCGAAAGGACAAAAAAAAAAAAAGAAAAAAGAATCCTCCTCTTTCATTCTTTTCTTTCAGGGTTTTTTATTCTCACAGCTTCAACCTATTGTGCAGTGTTGGTGACAAAGTAAAGCCTTACAGAGATGAAACCCAACACGCCAGAGAAATGCTAGATTATGCTTGTAAGACATGTTTGTATATCCAATAATGTTACAGAGAGAAAGACAGGAGGATTGTAATGTACTTACCCTTTAATGCTCTGTTAACTTGAGATGTGGAAGATCATATCACCATTAACACTATGTTCTCCCCAAAAAATCTTTTAGTGATTAAGGAGAAAATAAGTGTGACTGATGTTTGATTTTGAACCTGTCAAATAGGCTCTTTGTATAAAGAAAACAGTAATGTTTAAGGAAAAAACTGCCAAATCAGCACTACCTGTGCCAGTACTGACAAGTCTGATCCCATGGAGATCCACTATACACAACATGTCTTATTTACCTTCTCGGAATTTTTAGAATTTTATGTTACTATTTCATAGAAGTTGTTTCTGACCGGTTTCAACCAGAGCTGTTTTGATTTATAATTCAAAGTCTCCTTACAGTCTGGATTCCCCAGGGTGTCATTCTACCAGTAAGGCGGAAAGGTTATAGCATGCTCAGATCGCCCTCAGGGGAAAAAGTTGTTGTGATGAACATTATGTCTTTGTGTCCCTTTGTGTGTTTGTGACAGTACGTACCGACATGGAGGCTTTGAAGAGAAATGCATGTGCCATGATGTCGTGTTGCACATGCATTTTGTGTAGATCAAAATGCTCACACTTTCACGTTGTAAACGTGAGAAGTTCACATGTTTTGTTGTGTTGGTTTAAGTCTCTGTACGGGGAAAGTGCAGCTCAGGAGCTGTGAGCTCATCACCAGGTTAGTGACTCCACCCATGTCTTTTTCTGGCCACATGCTGAATTGTCTTTGGTTAAGACACCAAATGCCACATTAGACTTAGTGTGTTAGCCATTGTGTGTGTGTGTAAAAAGCACTGCATGGATTAGCAACCCTTTGAAATAAAAAGATCTTCATCAGGAGGGCACGTAGACAGCTTAATGCGCGTTTTAGTCTAAAATGTAAACACATTCCATCTCCCATCTGTTGTAAACTGTTTAGTCTATTGCTGTGGTGTTTAGCTCCTCTGTGCCATCGTAGTGTTGGCCCAGGAAATGCACACAGTTGGAGGCCACACAAAGCCGTCTCTGCCATTCTGCTGAGTGAAGCATCAATTATTCAGCCCGCTGTAAATGCGGGACAAAAGGAGGTCAGAAGAGATTCCCACCCTCCACGCTGTGAATGATGTTGACTTGCCAGAGGGCTCATCATCATCGTTGTTGTCGTTGCGTCGATAATAATGTGGTATTATCACTGCTGACATGGACTCGGTGATGGTTGATGATGCGCACAGAGACTTGTGTGTGGAATATCCCTGTGTCAGTTTCCCTCAGACGTGACTTTCCCTTCAACAGCCAAACAAAGCCGTGCAACACACCAACAGACACACAGTAGGCCATTGAGACATTTCAACAGGGATAAGCCAGGATGATGAAACGCAGTGTGCTGATACAGTATAGATGAACCTACTCGGCACAGTACTCCGTGTTGCTATGGCAACAATGCAAGGCCTTTTGACGAGTCAGGAGGGTCAGGAGACGAGGGTTCTGATAGTAGATACTTTTTGAATGTGAACTTTGTTGCTTTCCTCTCTTTTCTTTCCTTGTCAATCAGTGCCACTGTGCTGGGCCTAGCTCATGCGTGATAAACAATGAAATCAAAAACTTTTTCACGGGAAACCTGAGGACACACGTTGAAATGACTGACCGGAGCCAGGCAAACAGAAGCAGAGGACACGGGTTGTGCGACTGCAGTTGTTCAGTCCCGGGTATGGTGTGAGATAGCAGTGCCAAACTTCCTTTGCTATGATGAATCTTCTTATGTGTTTATGCTGTGTGCTCCTGGATCTGACAGCAGCCCATAGTGAGTACATTGTTATTTATTTATTTATTTTTCAATGTGTTTTCACTTAAACTATCACTTATTTAGAGGAGACTGATAGCTATTTTCTGTCCAAATGACAAGGAGTAAAGCTATCAAAATCCACAGATTTGGTAATATGGAGATAGTTTTTGTTTTTTGTATTATGCACACCAATAAGAAAGCATCATTATAAGTGTGTTTTAATGATTCTTGATGGTAGTGTTTATGATGCATTGAGGACACAAACCTGCACCCCCTGTGCAGTTTTAGTTTGTGTGTCATTCTCCTGCAGAGATGTGTTCAATGCATGTGCAAAACTGCACATTTCTGCAAGGGGAAGATAGCTTAAATGAGAAAAGAAAACCAAACCTTCACCCTGCTTTCACATTCTGGCATCAGTCTGAGAGAAAGTTGGAGATTTCCATGATCCCAGACATAATATGTTAAAGAAAGGCTGGAGGGGAGTTTGTGTTTTTTATCTGTTAGATTAGAACTGCATAGTGGGAGAAATATGTCCATGTAGATATTACCCAGACTCCAAATATATGGAAATGTGCAAAGCATCAACAAGAGCTACTATTTAGCATTTGGTGATAGCATGTTCTACTCAATGCTGCATACACTGCAAAGCATCTTGTAGGAGGTGTAAACATAAATACCAGATGAGGTGGTGTTAAGACTGCAAAGAACCGATGGAAGACAGCCTGAAGAGATGTGTTCTATCTCCTTCCCAATGATACAGTCATCTTGATTCTTAAGTGTGTTTCAAATCACACAAGAATTCAATCTATTACGGTGTGTGGTAACAAAGAGGAGAGAACCCAGGTGCAGAAGGGAGAAACTAAGCACATACCAAGAACATAGTGGAGTCAGATAACCATGAACAAATGCTATGAAAATAATGTGACTAAATATAAAAAAGCAAATCAGAGGACCAAACAAACCAACAAACAAACAAAAAAGAAATCTCACAACGGACTGCAGATCATAACTGAAAGGCTGAAACAGCAAGAAAAACAGCTGAGCAAAGGGGTATCTGTACTTAGGGAGAACCAATACATACAGAACCAACCCATACTAAAATAATAATTCCCACTTTACACCAGCAGTAAACAAGAAAGCCGCAGAAAAAAAACGCGGAAACACTTTCAGCTCTGCTGTTTGGTTGGTGCATCTGCGTCCTGTTAGCATGCGTGTAATGTCTGGAGTCTGGAGTTGCTAATCTCTGACGGCTATAACTGCAGAAGGGTCAGCATGAATCCATTTTATGTCAGATGATGACCCTTTCTGGACATAGAATAAATTATTTTGCCTTTGTCATATTTGTTTTCTAGAAAATCCATCTTTCTAGGGTCCAGTCTGGTTGCCTGGCAACTCATCGAATGAAAAGCCTCTTAAAAACTGGTGAATTGTTACTAGTCTCTTGTTTCCAAAATATATTTCTAAAGTACACAATTTTTGTCCTATAAAACGTATGGGACCGAACAACATGTGTGACATGATAATAAAAAATTAGGAAGGCCTCCTTCTCTTCTGTCTTTGCCATATCCATCCACATTGTTTAATAAAATGTCATCAATTCTAATTCTGTACAGAGGAGATTTGACAGCTCACAGTCAAAATGACTAATTTTCTTGGCTTACCTGTGAACAGGACTACCCACTAAAATGGCATACTGCAGCACATTTGTGCATGACATTTAGCTCTATAGAGTTTGTAGAAATTGCTTCATCTCTTCCTAAGGTCTCTTTGTGTTGTTTTGTTTTTTTCTAGGTATACTGATATTATTAGGAAAAACTGTCTTTCCCACCGGCTGAAAGTATACTTTTGAAGAAGGCCCATTTTGTTCTTGAGGTTGAATGCTTCTCCTTTTATATGGAGGGTTGGCGGCTAAAACCCAAGGCCCTACACGTGTCAGCTTGCCCTTGGGCAAGACTCTGAACTCTGTGTGGACCCTGATATGCCCATTTGTGTGTGACTGTATGCATGACAGACAAAAAGCGCAGCATGTATAGTATATAAATAGAAGTGCTGCATGAGGGTTTGTGTGAGTGGATGAATGAGAAATACTCTTCTAAGTGCTTTGTAGAGCCTGGATAAGAGAAAAATGTGCAAGAAAAATACAGAACAATTACCACAACAGTGACAATTCACAGTTTTCTTCATTGACTAAATCACCAGTGGTAATTTGGACTCCTTTCATAGAATGTTGGGCCGTTATTGGACTGTTGCCATTAAGTATCCATCTTATGGATACTTGATGGATACTTAAGCTTATTTGTGCTTGCATATATTTGTGGAATTTGGACCATGCTGTTCCCACCATTGCTCTGCATGTATAGCCTGGGGTCACTGTAAAGAATGTATAAAGCTGTGATACATATAGAGAGTACAGACTTTACTGTTTCAAAGTCCAAACTGAAGAAGCGAATGCAGGCTGTGTTACTTTACCTTCAAAATGCAGAGGCCTCTCAAGTGACAGAAATACCCCAAATGCTAAATAAGCTCAAAGAGAGGGTGAGACAGAGGGATGAGGAGGCTCTCGAGAGACTCTCCAAGTTTTAAAGAGGGGATGTATTGAGCATGACTGATATCCCCACAGATATTAAGTTCACTCTCTGTCAGCCTAATTGTCCCTGTCGGTCACCACTCGTCCGGCAGCACTGAGGATGTTCTACAGGTGAGAGGTGGATATGTTTAGCTAGAGGTTTTACCGCATAACTCATGTGCCCATGTTTGTTTTTCCACACAGGCGGCGTGCTGGTGCAGGATCGTATAGTCGGTGGTCACACTGCTGCCCCAAACTCCATCAAATACATTGTGTCAGTGCAGAGCGCCAATGGCCAACACTTCTGTGGCGGATCACTGGTTCACAGGTACTGGGTTCTGACCGCAGCGCACTGTAACATAGGGTAAGATTGTCCAGTAGCTGTGATCGATTGAATGTAGACCTAGACCTCATGTCCTGCTTCATATTTCTATCCTGAGATGCTGAGAGTAAAAGAAGGTTAATGGAAATAGGGAGAAAAATATTCAAACTTCCACTAATGCACAGACATGGTAACGCTCTTGCTTGAAGTGTTTTTTTCCTGTTTTGAAGAGGACTTGATGTACATTAGGGTGGATGAAAACAAAATTCACAAACAGTACCTGAACCAACAAAGATGTATATATTGTGTCTCAGCTTCTGTTTGTAGTCTGAAATGGAAAATAAATGGCACCTTAGCAGTAGAATCAGACATGACATCCTAGATATTTCCTGAGATAATAATAATTAATGACCAACTCTCCATTTTCATCTTGATCTCTACTGAAGTTTTTCTTTGTAACTTATAGGAACCAAACATATCCCTCCACTGTTTGATGACCAGCCAAATCTGGTTAAGTAGTAAAGTGTCTCATTGGCAGTTTTTGTCAGTATGACCACAGATTTGGTTTGGTTTTGAATAAAAACTTGTTTAGGTTCTCGTTCTTGAGTAGAAATCTCCAAACAATTCATTAATAACCTAACCATACTTATAATGGAAGCAGGCGGCTCCAACAGACGTCTTAAAGCAAATATCCACTCAGGCAAAGGCAGGTAAAGTCACGAAGATGCCAACATTTGGAAGTAAAACAACACAGTGATGCACTTGTGTCAGCTGACCTTGAAGCGGCATCATGGGTGTGTTTTGTGTGTGTGTGTTAGACATGAGAAGTGTCCTGATCCAGGAAAATGTCCATTTCTCACATACTTCCCCAGCAGTCACTGGCTCACTGCTCACAGTAAGCCATTGTTCCCCAGTCACAGTCAGCACACGTCCAAACTCTCGGCCGTGGTTTAGTGTACTGGTCTTTATTTCAAAATTGATGCTAATAGGATACTTCAAAAATACACAAATAATAAAATAACGAAATCTCCGGTCTCTGGTCTATTTTGTGCTACATTTGGGGGTGAATGGGACATGAAATGGAAGTGCGTTGCATTTTAGGACAGACAAGATGATGATTGTGGCAGGCGACTACAAAGTGAATCTCTTTGAGGGCACTGAGCAGTATGCCAAACCCCAAAGGCTGGTCATCCATCCACTGTACAACAGAAGTACCAACAATGCTGACATCATGCTCATTAAGGTACAGCAGAGATGAAGCCATTTGGTTCTCTTCATACTTGCTTACACAAATATGATAATTGTGCTGAATGTTGACACGGTAATTTGTAGTGTTTCATACCATAAATAGCTTTTTGGTGCTTATGAATGGCATTGTTTTAGGGATGTAAAACCCAACTGTTACATAGAATACATGCTTGTTGTCTTGTGGTTGACCATATTTGTTTATCCATAAAACCAGATCATGTGGAAGTACTTCATTTGACTGTTCTCTGATTTTCTGTCCAGCTGCGGGCCCCCATGGTCCTGAACAAATTTGTGTCACTGGCGCCTCTTCCCAGACAGGGGACAGGCGTGGTTGAAGGCCACGCGTGTCAGGTGTCTGGATGGGGCTACAACAATTTGGGCGGAGGCCAGGTCCCAGTCACTCTCAGGACAGTCACAGTGCCCATTGTGTCAACCGCAAGATGTAACAGCAGCGACTCCTTCAGTGGAAACATAACAACAAACATGATCTGCGCAGGCAACCGGGCTGGAGGAAAAGACGCATGCAAGGTACAGACAACAGAGCAGCTTATGTTCAAAGAGTTCAGCCACAAATTCAAGAAGGAGGTGTCACTGCCCAGCACAGCCCATTGTGACTGACATGATTGTTTCATTTTCAAAAAGACATGAATTTCACTTTGAAATAACAATTCTCTATGGTCCTGGTCTTGGTTTCCAGTGTATATCAGGTGGCACAAGCTGATTGTGTCCTTATCATTTCACATTAGAGCAAAGCAGTAACACTGATCTGTCAAGCTCACACCCCAGACAGTTAATCATGTCGGTGTGGGTTCAACAGCAAGATTTTATTAAGCGAACGTGGCAGTCCTGTCTCAGGGATACTGTTGGGTATGACAGTTGGAAAGGAGATTGAAAAGCAGCCCTAAAATAGCATCAGGGCTGAAACCAAACTATTACTTTGAGATAAAATAGTTTGTAGCTGAACAGTGACATTTACAGAGTTAATTTATTTTCCAATTTAATCTTTGTGCCTTTGTCGACAAAAGGCAACATTTTTCCTTAGGAAAGGAACTCTACTAACTAATTACTGACTAATCAAGTAGCACTATATTTAACACGATAGCAAGAGACTTTTTAAGAGCTCGTTATTCCAAGAGATTTCAAATCATGAAATGGCTGAATTCAGCTTAAAAGTGTCTAGATTCTCTAATATGAAATGATCATAAAGAAATCCACCCATAAAGCATATCATATATCGAATTCAAAACATAGGCACACATGTGATATGACTAACAGTTTAGGAAGCATCACTTGATCTCAGCCAAATTAGCTTGAAAACAGGACATGCTTTCTGACTATCTTAATGTGAAATGTAACATTTCACATAGAAAATGTGTGACTTCTTTATGCAGTCCATATGCATCAATTTCAACAACTTTATAAAATTACATTTTTGAGGATAGGATGTTACCTGGTTTCAGGTTACAAGGGTATGTTCTGTTCCCGTGTTGCCTCGGAGAACAGTCTGACAAACAAAGAAGCCTTTATGGTCGGGATATCGAACACTGGATTTGTCAATGCTCCTTAAAAGGTTTATCCCTGAGGCACCAGCACTCATCTGCAACTTTTCACAAAACTGAAAGCACGCCGGCAGACAGTGACTGATGGGGTTCTGTCTGGTCCTTGCAGGGGGACTCTGGTGGGCCACTGGTGTGCAGAGGACAGGTCTATGGTTTGGTGTCATGGGGCAATGGCTGTGGTAATGCAAAGTTTCCTGGAGTCTACACGGCAGTATCCAGATTTCGCCGCTGGATAGACCAAACCATCTATGGGTCATATCTGCGCTGTTCGAGATACTAGTGGAGCTATAAGAGCAAAATGTAACATTTGCCATTTGGGCCTGGCATCAGTCATCTTTTTTTAAACTGTCAAATGATCAGAAGTGCTTTTTCTGAAAATCTGAAGTGCTGCTTTGGAGTAATTTTTCCTATATTTTCAATTGCAGTGTGATGTAATGGACCTCACTCTATGGCATTAGCGAGTATTAGCACAAGTCTGTGTGCCAGCTACAGTAATAGTAGGTTTCTTTATATGGTGCAATTTGCACTCTTATACTTATGTAACTAGTAAATGTCACAACCTGTAAGAAATATAATCATTTAGAGAAGATGCAGAGATAAGAGGTTGTCCGATTTGAATGCCAAGTTAACATGAACAGACAAAAGCAAGTCTGTATTATTTAAATCTAAAGATGCAGATGTGGTCCATATTTGTGCAAATAAAATAAGTACATTTTGATTTAGCCGTGTTTTTTTGTTTAAACAATCCACTGCCACACAGGCCTGACAGAGGATTATTTCAATTAGAAAGAAAATAATGGCTGTTTTTCTCACAGCCATCACTTCTCATAATTTAGTTTACAATTAACTACCAACCAATTCAGATACAAAACCAAGAAGTTACTGAATTTCTCTTGTAGTCATTAAAGTTTAATCTGATAAAAATCATCCAAAGGGTGTGGGCGTGTCCTAACTGTGCCTCTTCCATGAATAGATGAGAACCTGAATAAGTTAGCACTGCTGCAGGCTAACATATCGTCTGTCATTTCATTGTCTGATTAATGCTATATAATCAGGTTACTTTTAGATGATATTATTTCTTTTTGTCCATGCGTTTGTTGTTCAGATATCCTTTTTTTTCTTGTTAATATGGTAGAGTGTAAATATAAATAGCAGACAGTGGGTGGAAAACAAGGTAGTTTGTTCAGTGAGTTCATATTAGTGGCCCCAGGGGTAGATTTAAAGAAATCAGCTGTCATACTATCCTCAGATATCTGTTGTTATCGCAAAACCGAAACCCTTTCAAGGTGAAATCAATATGAAAAGTGAAATGACAAAAGTGAGATGGAATCTTGTCAACGTATTTTTCCAGGGTGGGGGGAAATCTAAGATTTCACTTTCTTTTATTTCTTTAAAATTCTAATTGAGAAGGGGCCTTAAAATTTGCATAAAATTTTAACTGACCCGTAGAGAATCCACGAGAAAAGTAGCATAACCCCACGTCATTTAAAAGACCACTTTTTTTGGTGCTGCTTCTGATCATCTAATGCGCATTCATTAATGCGCAATTTTCCAGAAGCAAGACATAGCGTCTCACACATAAAACAATTAAACATCCTTACACGAGGCAAACGGGAGGAATAACGGTGAACAACCTGCAGGGAGATGATGAAATGTTCACGATCCAAAAGGAAAAACAGAAAAAAAGGCCATAAAAAACAACGCAGTGTTCAAATGCAAACGGAACGAGAGGGAACTGAGAGTGCGCCACAGGGCCAAAAGTCCTGTCCCAGCACATGAAAACACTGCCATCCTCCGGTGAAGTCTGACTCAGAGGATACTCGTCCTTCCCAAAGCCCATTAGGACAGATGCGTGAGGAAATTGGTGAAATCGCAACAGAAAACTTGAGAATTCGGTCTCTCTGACTCGGTTGTTGTGGTAGCGCGAAATCGATATTTTCGTCTGTTTTTTTTTTTGGCTCACATTGATGTGCCAGCTTTGTATTTAAGATCGCCATTTGCGTTCGATTGCATCTAGACCCCAGAGGCAGCGGAGCGTTGGTTGTACCGCGACGCCAGCTGGACGCTTCTGGGCTGCACCAGAAAAACCCCCGTACAGCTCCCTCGTCAGGTCTCCCCGGGACCCGTGTTTTGCATCGCCCCTCAATTTGCATTTCTTTCTCAGATTTTCCGTGAGACTGACTCAGCCGCTCGAAAAAAGCAGCAGGCGCTTCACGCCACTGTTTTCCCTGCACGCGCGCCTCCATTTCCAAAGCAACACGCGCAGAGATAAGAGCCAAAAAACCTCTGGATTCTTTTTTGTTGTTGTTGTTTTTAATATTATGTCACCGAGGCTTCACGAACGGGGAAACTAAGGGCGTTTTTTTTTTTTAATCCTCTTGTTATTTGTGGTGCGTACAGACGGAGACAGACACGTGTCTTGTGGGTAAACAGAGAGGGTTAGGTCGTGCCAGCAGATCGCTTTGTTTGTTTCCCAGGTTTTTTTTTTCATATTTGTGTGTAGACGACCGACCGGGTCTGAGCTCGGCGACAAGATATTCATTTCAGCTGGTGCGCCTTGGTGATAAAGACGCATTTGGAGATGTCGGAAGTGCTGCCTTTCAACGAAGAAAAAATGAGTCATTATGGAAACGAAGGCGACGAGGGACACCTTTCCTTCACCTGTCGCCTTCAAGACACCAACAACTTCTTCAACGGCTCACAGAATAAACGTCCGCCAAAACTCGGACAAATAGGCAGGAGCAAAAGGGGTAATTATATAATTATTTTTTGGTATGGTGGATGTGGTGAATGCGCACTTGGGTTGCTGGATATTTTCCTGTTGATCTACACATCATGCTTTGGCACGGTGGTCTGCGGGGGGTAAAAATCAGAGGTGTTTAGTTGTATGTATGTGAAGTGTCTTTTTTTTGTTTTTGTATTCCGTTCGCATTGCAACATAAGTTGGATACGCAGTGCGTGCTGTTTGAATGGTGCCTGGTAGAGTTGTGGTGAATGTCCCCTCCCTTTGAATGCTTGGCACGATTGACTTTTATAAGGCTTGACATCTGATTTTACGCGTGCATGACAATGATCAGGTTTGTTTGCTCCTGCGTGTGCTGCATTCCCAGTGAAACCCACGATAACGAGGTCCACTTGTGATTGTACGTGGATGCACAGGCACCACGGACAAACGGACCTATGTGTGCACAGCCATGTCCGCAAATGTGCACCAGAAACACACACACACACACACACACACAGTTGCACACACAGTTGCACACTGATCCATCCTCTCTTGCTCTTGCCTACTCTCTCATGCATGCACTCATCACCTCTGCTCGTCCAGCTCTGAGCTCACCGTTCTGGGCTCTAAAGCTCCTGTACTCGGTGCCGAATTTTCAAGAGGCCACACCAAGATGAGCCCCCCCCCCCCCCCCCCCCCTCCCATTAACTCTCCCTCCCCTGTCATCCACAGTTGTGATCGAGGACGAGAATGGCGACGATGAAGCGATGAAAAACGGAACAGAGAAGACCTCGACGGAGGCTTAGAGTGCCCGACTCGACGCGCGCCCCCCCTGCCCAAAAGACACTCTTGAAATTTTTTATGGCGATATTTACCAGTTTTAATCCAAAGACACTGTATATAAGCACTTTCTTTCATGTGGCAGCAAGCAGAACTTCCACACCCTCCTCTTCCAGTCCGTGGAGACGGGCCGGATGGCGCCCGCTGGCAGGGGTGGGAGATGGCAGCAAAGGAGACCCCCAGGTGGACCCCCTCAACACACACACACACACACACACACACCCTCGATTACAGGGTTTCGCCATAGATCCAGTCGCAGGAGAAGACATCGGGGGGTGGAGGCAAGGGGGTGAGGCGAAGGAGGGAGCTGATGCTGTCGAATTGCAGAAATCAGGGACAGGATACAGAAGTAATTATATTCTAAACACTAAAGCACACACTTTGATCCTCTCAATCAAACCTATGGTACCATTCTTTCTGCTCTCTACTTTGATCAAGGGCAAGTGAATAACAGAGTTTGTAAATATGGAAAGTGTAGCCCATATTTTCTTGCACAAAGTTGGAATTGGTGAACTGGTTTGTTTTGTGTTGAAGACGTTATTTATTATTGATCCTTGGGGAAAATGTCCTTTGCAGTGACTTCAGGCCTACCGGAGTGTTTTTTTTTTGTATGTTGAGAAAAACTTTGAGCAAATGCGAGTCACATTATTTTTCACTTTAAAATTCTCGATGTTGCCTGAGTGTTTTTTGTTACCATACTTTGCAGCTAACAAGTCATTTCTAAACGGTGTACTTCCCACCTGTTTGTAAGCTTCCCAGGCTTTCACCTGGATTGGTTGATACTGTAACTTGACTGTAAACACCCTATTGATAAAAACTATTTATATTGCATTGTGCATTATTGTGTGTGCCAAATCTCATGAGGGGGTATATTGTACTGAACAACTTGTTCTTTTTTGTGCTTTATACATTTACTCATGGAGTTCATCATTTTGTTGGGTTGCCAATTTTTAGGGCTCTTTCATGAAACACTTTAAATACCAACTCATGCATGGCAAATATAAAATCATGCATGCATGGCAGCAATTCTGAAACTCTTGTGTATTCTTGAAGCACCTCGTATACAGCTTTGAATGACAAACCTCAAAAAACAGTCTTAATTCTGCGTTGTACTGTACGATTCTCACTGATTTGTACAGTGGCCTAATATCTTGTAATAAAGATTCTGATAAAGTACTATTTACTGTTAGTGTTGATTGTGGTTTACAATGAGGAATGATGTATTTGATGTTGCTTTTGTTTTTTTGTTAAAAAAAACTGTTTTAAAAACTGTAGCAAAAACATGAAAATATAGTTTTGTATCTGAAGGATGAGGACAGTATCAGATAGCTTGGCTAACTTTTGGACTTGTTCCTTGTAAAATTTCTCCTGTTGTTATTGTATCGCCTATTTTGCTGCCAAGGAAGGTAAAATCAGCATTTTCCACTGTGAGGAAGTAGCATCTCACTCTTTGTAAAGATCAGATTTAGAGGGAGACAGACCTGGGCAGAATGACGGGCCAATAATCCCACAGAGAATCTGAACTGCACACTTGGTCCGAAAGAGACACTGGGCTCAAACAGTTGCACAACAGACTATGATCTCATTAAGTGCTACAGTACTGCAAATGTTATTGTGGGGAAAATGTACAACACTGCTTCCCAATGCAATAAATGTCTGTTTGCGTTTAAAACCTCTCAGCCTCTCTCTTTAATCAAGTCTTCCCTTCAACTCCATTGTCAGAGATTTAGGGGGCACACGGGCGTGAGGAGCGCTGATGAGATGTGACAGTTCCAGCTCTGCCGTGGCGACTAAATGATTCATGTTGTGTGACGAGCCTCTGTCAGCACACCGCATCCTAAACCTGATGGTGGGACGGGAACATACGTGCGGCTCTTAAGTACACGCGCACAGATAGAAGTGCTCACATGTCCATTTCAGCTCCACTGCAGGCGAGGGTAATATATTTCTATTCTCCCTCCTCATCTTGACAGACATGAAAGGGGCTGCCTGTGCCGGGTACCATGGTAACAGATGCACCTTGCTCTCGCCTGAGAGCTGCGGTGGGCTCCGCCGCAGAATAGTCTTCCCCAAGCCACGTCTTGATACCATCACTATCTTTAATGGAATGTTCTCCGTTCTCTTATCTCTGCCCTCTTCTCACAAGACCCCCTATTCACTCGGTGGCGTGGCCGCATTCTCCTGCCAAAATGGGCTCTTCTTTCAAGACGGCAGTCAACCATGACAGCATTGCTTACTGCAGCAACAACCTGCCCCCCCCAAATGTAGCACAGGATGTTACATTTGAGGAGTAATGGTTTATGATTGTCTGTGTGGGGGTTCCCTTGATCCAAAATGATGCAGTGAAACTGGGCGTCATGTGAACGACAATGATGGGTGATGCTCAGCAGATTCATATATGATTCCCATAATAAAGTAAAAGAACAAAACAAAACAAGGTTTGAGTAATTTATATTATTTTTTAGGCAAGAATAGATAGATACCTGCCACAGTTTTGAATAATGAATATGAGTATTCAAAACTTTGTGCATCATGAAGAGCCTTTGATGTTTTATATTGGGAATGAAACCTTTCTAATCTTCTCTCCTCCTTTGCTACGTGTGTAATCGTGCAGTGTTTTCCGCAGATAGAGCAGAAACCCGGGCAGGGAGCGCCGCAGTAAAACGCACCTACACCAACAGATACACCTGTGACTCATTAAAGAATGAACAACACTAATTGGCAGCATTTGTCTTTCTGAGGTTTGGAAACAAGGAATGCTTTTTCTCAACTAAATCAATCTGCTCTTTATTTCTGTGTTAAAAAAAAAACAAATACAAAAACCCCATGGCTTCTGCAAGTAAGAAGGAGCTACATGAACAGGTGTCGGCTTTAAACCCACATCAATATTTAAGCAATTTTCGGTGGATTGAAAATGACCACCTGAGAGTGTCAAGCAAAAAACAAAATGTTAAGCCACATAACAAACATATATGTAGAAGTAAAAAAAAAAGACATGGGGCATCAGCTTTACAATAAAATGGACTTTGCGATATGATTTGATGCAATTTTAGTTCACAGACAGGCTCAAGACTGAGACATCTGCTGCCAGTTTCTGTCAGTTCGTTTTTTCCAAGCAGTGGAACACAAAATGAGTCTGCAGTATTCAATAAGGGCCGTATCATAATGCAGGACAACGCTCCATTAAATGCTTCTAAGTGTCCTCACTAGTTTGCTTGCCAGAAAATGCCTGATTGGCTCTTACCCTTGACTTACACCCTTCTCGGAACATGCAGGACAATTTCAGTCAAAGCTATTCCATTCAAAGCAAGAGAGGAAAATAAAGTGTGTTCCTGTCAGTCATGATTATGACCAGATCTCACAGAGCTGAAATGCTTGTGGGGGTCAAATACGTTGTGTGCTCTGTAGATTCAACACTGTGTGTTTTTCATAATTTAAATATTTAGACTAAACAATCACTACCCCTCTGCTAATGATAAGCTCTCATTTTTATTCAAATATCTATGTGATGTGTTCATGTTTTGCTTTTTGCCAGTGAAGCTCTCATTAAACATTGCCATTCATTCCTGTTTATTTATTTCTTATAACAATTACATGCCAAAATACTTCAAATATGTCTTCAGAAGGGACACAAACTAAAAGCGGTGGGAACGTTTCCCTGTGGTTACCCATGACACTTCAAATTTGGCGCGGAATGAAAAATTGCCTCATTGCATAAATTACTTCTATATTACTGGCATCTAAATAAACAAAATAGACCACTGTTGACAATTTTGCTATTTGTTTTATCAAAGAAAAAGCTGAAAGGTGGTATGCTGTAAATGTAATGGTAATCTTAAAAATGTGAAGACTCTGGTACCTTTTGAAGCTGGCTCAGGTTGTGAGTTATTAAAAGTCATCATTTAGAAACATTTCAATGCCTCAGTGAACTGTACTGTGCCTTCAGTGCAGTACAGTTCTTTCCTGCCACACCATCACTTATATAAACAATTGAGGAGATGAGATTTATCTTTTCATGAGAGTCTCCCCACCTTTGAAAAAGAAGATTGAGTTGATCATGCTTTTAGGTACCACTCTGTGTCTTTTGCAAGTAACAAACTGCTATAGGGAGGAACGCATGTCTCACAAAACCAGCTAATTCTGGAAGCAACTGGTACACTGTTATAACAACCCCAATCATATCTGAAATGTTGACAGGGGTATGACCTCAGGAAGCACAAGCTAAAGCTTAACTAAGTTGGTAATCATTACAAAAAAACAAAAACGAAATGGCGGCAGAATGACAAGGAATAATAGAGCTGACAGCCTTTTGGTGAAGGAATGGACATAGTTAACAACAAGATACAGTTATTGATGGTGATTTCCTTTTTCTCTTTTTCAATCTTACTTGGAAGTAACACAGTGAGTGCTGACGAGTGCCAAATCTTCTGTTTCTTCTTTTAGATTTAAGCAATCATGACGGGGAAGCATTTTACACTATAGGGAAAGAGGTACAGCAAATGAGCTAACTGCAGTTGAGAGGTCATCTCAGAGTTTGCTCACTAAACTGTGTATAAGAACATATTGCACGGTAGTGTTCAATTGCCATGGGAAGTGTGTATACATGTGTGTCGGTGTGGTAGTGTGCATGTGTCATACCACAATCTTCATCAATCTTAGTGTGTGTTGTAACTGTGTGTCTGAGTGAAGGAGAAGTAAGAAGAATTCCCGTAAATGCAAAATAACAAGTAAACTGCGGATTCTCACTCATTTCCAGTATTGTACTTATTTTTATTATTTTTGATGAGTCTATCAAACTACAACTTGTAAAGCTCTGGATTTTGAGGCCCTTCAACATTAGTTGAAGTTTTCTTGTTTTTTTTACTAAATTAACACACACAAAATATCAATGTCCATGTTGACTCAGAGAGTCGGAGTTTTGCCAGTTGCCAGTCAATAAAAACACATTACATTCTTTAAAAAATGCCTGTTTTTGGACAGGGTCTCCACACATTCATACAAACTCCACACAAAAAGCCCCCTAGATGGGATTCAAATTAAGAAATTTCCCTATGAGGGGCACATAACAGTTAGTTAGGTCAAATTACAACAGGTGAGTTGGGAATATTTGGGAATAAAAACAACAGCTGGAAGAGCTTATAAATCATATTCCTCAATGTTAAACTGAGAAAGACTGACTATTCCATCATATAAATGATGTAAAAAGGAATGGTTGAAGTGTGGGATGCCTGTGATTTTCAGACCCCCAGGCAGGATTCTGCAGTAGAAATCACCATATAGCCTCAGAAACAATTCCAATAATCACTTTCTGTGAATAGAATTTGCTATATCATCCATAAATACACATTAAAGCTCTGGCCTCTGGACTGGTGAGCCTGCAATTCAGACCTTTCACCGCCTGAAAACATTTTGTGCATTAGGAAATTCAAAATGCAAGAGCTGAGAAGCTGGAATATTCCAGGAGAAAAATGCGGACCTTTCTCCCCAGGTGCATTTAATACGCTCTGTGGGTAAGGCCCAAACCTGCTCACCTCTAGTTGGAGCTCAGGGTTGAATTGCACTTTACAATAAATAGAATCTCCATTATTGTCATTACTGTGAGGGAAGTTAATAATACTCAGTTACGATGGAATGATATTGTAGCAAATAGGTTTTGAAGTGAGCACTCATGGGAAAGTAATCACTAGTGCTGTAAGAAGGGGCAGATGAAAGTCAAGTGCTGGGTAGCTGTTAGGTTACATAAACTCTGACAGTTGTAAAGAGGAGGAAAAAGGAGGGAGAAGAGCATTATGGGGAAGGATGGGAAGAGACCGTGAAACTCAACCTGGACAGAAAGGGGACAGAGCATGCATGGGCCACTGATGTAATGGGGGAAACTACAACCTCAGCCCCAGCTACATGCAGACACAAGGTAACAGATAGTCCAGCTGACCGCCTCTCACACGGTTGTCCCTGGGGAAACCAAGTGCTCAGCCTCCCTGCTGAACTCCAAAACATGACCTTTGTTTCTGGCGGTGAAACGCCCGCTGTGAATTCACAACACCAAACCACTTAGTGGGAAAATCACCTTCCCTCTTTCTTGTTGTGAATCATCAGCCCAGCTGTATTCGGTGGATCTCACGCAAATGGCTGTGGCAACATTTGCATTTCACTCTGCCTCATGTGTACACTTCTGTGGGCACTGACGTATCTATTACAATGTGGTTTCCTATTTGTGTGCGTGCACAGGAAAAATATTTCGGTGTACATGCAGGAAATGCAGTCCTGGCTCGGGAAAATAAACACACCACACCAGAATATTCTTTTTTTTTTTCCTGAGTGGGGTTCTATATTCAAGCAAATGTGCCAATGATATGATGGTGAAAGCAACCTAGGTTGCGTCAAAATCAGATTACGTCAATCTTTCAAGTGAGGTTCCCTTCTGATATCATTCCAGCTTTTTTCTCATCTCAGGAAGGCTTGCATCCAATTATGTCACTGTAGAAACTGTCTTTGTGCATTGTTCTTTTTTGACAAGCTCCAGGTTTAACAGATGGGACTGTCAGGGAGGGGGGGATAAAAACAGACTGACGGCCAGAAAGATGGAAGGGCCATTCTGCATTAGCATTGAACACTTTTACAAGACAAAGGAGAAAAGGGAGGAAGGGTGGCAGGGAGGCAGCTCG